GAGCTGGCTCCTGAGGCCTCCTCCCCAGGGGACCCACCCATGTCTACAGCTTCACTTGGCACCCCACACAGCTCACCCCCCCCACTCTCTTCTCTAACCTGAACCTCTGAATCAGCTGCCTGCTGTGCTGCATTTGGAACACACCCCAGCCACTAGAGCTAAACTTGCTTAAAAAAAACCCACTTCAAGGTCAGTCCTCTTCCAGGGGCCCCTTGGCTCTGAGTAGTGGCTCCATCCATCCATCCATCCATCCATCCATGCAACCAGCTTTCCAGCCTTCATTCTCACCTCATCCCAACTCCAACTTCCAGGCCTTTTGGGTGAGCCCTACTCTGTCACCACCTTGGCCCACACCAACATCAACTCTTGCTTTCTTGGACTGTTGCGGTAGCCTCTCAGCTACCCTGCATTCTTCCTTTCTGCTGTGTCTCCCTATGCATCCAGGTTAAGTCTAATGACAGTGATTGTGCCACTTCCCCAGTTGAGGTCCTTTGGTGTGGCCCCAGGGTCCTAACATTTGGCCAACACTTTCTCTGTAGCATTGACTTATTCCAGTTACTGTTCCATCCCCTGAGCCAGGCAGTCATAGTCTTTGTCAAGTGCCACCACCCCTGTCACCTCAGGGCCTTTGCACCTGCTCTTGCCTCAGTCTGGATCCAGGGAGAAGAGGGATGGTCTTGGAGGTAATGAGACTACCTGGTGCCAGGCTGGAGCATTGGAGGTCTCTGCCCACTCCCCACGTGCAAGAGTATCTTCTCCAGAGGCATCAGCACTGGGGCTCCCAGGTACAGCTCTATGCAGACAGTGACAAGAAATGCAGGGCTCAGTGCAACCCCTGCCCCACACATAGGTCAGAACAATGCTCACCCAAGACAGAACACCTGCTCAGGGCAGGTTTCCCTAAGGGGCACTTTAAACAAAGACTCCTTCCAGCAGAGAAGTAACTGGAGCACCTTAGCCTTTTCTAAACCATGCAGGTATGTGATCCACATGTTTATATAAGTCAGAAGAAGAACATTGTGAAGAGGACAGTCACTGGGGATGCAGGCTCCCCTTAAGCCTCTGTCTTTATTCTGTTGTCCTTCGTCTCCCTCTGGTGGTCTCAGCTCAGGGTTAGCACAAGAGTCAAGCAGAGTGAAAACAATGTATATCAAAGCACGCAGGACCAGCTGCTATCAGCTGTTGGATCTGGTTTTGCATTTTGTGATTGAAGTTGTGAGCTGCATATATGAGTATGAAATACCTCCTCATCCCACCCCACCCCCACGGCCTCTCTTCTGTGCATGGGTTTCCTTCCCTGACATGTAGTGTGGGAGAGGCGGCAGGCAGAATGCTCTAGGAAAAAGGACAAGGCAGGAGTGAAAAGAGGACCCCCTGGCACAAGTGTCTGTTTGGAGTTTTAGCAAAGACCTTGAATCCTTCCCTGGCCCAGTGCGCAAAGCAGGTGTCAGTGGACACTGATGGTTGACCCTGCTGCTCTGCTAGGTACCCATCACGCACAGAGTCTGTGCCCCGAGACTGGCCCCAGCTGGGTGAGGCCCTTTCTAGGGAGTGATGCATCCAGGTATTCATCAGTCTATCAGAGAAGTTCGGGAAATCGCCCAAGGTCACCTGGGGAACTGGCAGCGGAGGAATCAGAGTTGGATGTAAAAATGGAGTTGGATGTAAAAGGGAAGATGTATCTTCATCTCTTCCCAGGGACTAGGGCCCATGCAGCCCCCTCCCCACACTTAAGACCTTAACACACTTGCCCAGGACACACAACCTAAGTGCTGGCTGAGGGTGATGTCAACAGTACCTTCCTGCAGCACACAGTGTCTCCATCTCCTGGTTAGTAATGGTCACTACATCGGACCCCACTTGGGCACTTGGGCCTCACTTTGGGGTGACTCTCGACCAGTGGTAGACACCTCTGAACCACATTACTGGAGAGAATAAGATGGCATGTGGTAGAAAAACCTGGTGTCCTTCTGTCCAGAGCCCCAGCGGTCAGGGTGAAGAATGCAGTGTCCCATGGATGGCCTCTGTACCTGCCTTGTTGGTGCACCTGCATGCAAGTCACACCTGCCAGTGGACAGATGGGCAGGGGATCCTCCCCTGGTGCAGCCGTATGGGCCCTGAAGCCTCCCACCTGTATGATGCATACGTCCCTGCCCAGCTAGACATGGATGTAGCTCTATGGAGAGGGCCAGGGACACCTGAAATAGAAGGAGGAGCCAGATTTGACCTTGACCATGGAGTACTACAGGAGTCAGCTGATGCACTCTTGTCCTTGAGGGCCAGGATGTTGCAAGAGGCAGTATCTTTGGGCAGCTGCCTGGTGATCCTGAATTAGAAAGTAAGTCCAGCCTTGTGCCTTTCAGAGAATTTTGGCCTTGGAAATTTCTGACTTATTTGCTCCTAAAATGATGGCAGGCTGGAGGGCTCATATTCCTATTCTATCCTGTTTTGTCCACATGGTGCATTTCCCTATGTGCCCCTTTCAGAATGAAAATGTCCAGAAAATCCCATGGCTTGCTGAGCCCATCTCTGGGTCTGGCCTGGTGCTAATCAGGGCCCTTACCTTATCCCCTTAGTCCCTATATACCCCTGGGGCAAATGTCCTGAGCCCAGCGTGAGTACATCTCAGGGTCAGGGGCCTGGGGAGTTGCAGGCTTAGAGCCCTTCTCCTGGTGGCTTTTATCTCAGGAGTTTCTGTGAGTGGTATAACAGAGGGGTGTTTCCTCTATTTCCCCTCAAGGGATAAAGAAGCAGCCTCACAGAGCAGGCCACCTCCCTGGGCTGGGCTCCTGGTGACCAGGTGCCAGGATTGCCTCCCCTACGGGTCTCACCAGTGTCTTCAGATCTAACAGCAGCCTCTTTAGTCCGTGTTTGGGCTGTGGTAATCATGGAGAGTTTACTACTCTAATAATTCAGAGTACCTGCCACTGAACTCATTACTTCCCAGTCTGCATCCACAGAACACCGCACTGTGTCTGACACGTTCCCAGCAAGTGCACAGGCCCAGTATGTGAGGGGCAGCCTATGGGTCCAAAGCCACAACACTGCTCCTGTGTGCAAGGCTGCCCCCAGCTGTGTGTGCATGTGTGTGTGTTCATGAGGGCATATGTGGACAACACTGGGACAAGGCTGGGTGACCCACGATGGACTTTTGGGGAGGAGGAAGGGGCTCCCTGAGGGTCCATGTTGAGCTGGGGTCCTGCCAGAGAGCTACAGTTGGGATGCTCTCTCCTACTGGAGTCAACGCTGAGCCGGAGGCCAGAGTGGGTAGCCAGGAGGAATGTGGGTAGAACATGGTGATGAAGGCACCACACCAGCAACAGAGAGGACAGCAGCTTGCATTGACCTGTAGGGAAGATGACAGTGACAGTGGGAAGAGAAACCCACGATTGAAACATTTGTCAGGGGTCCGTGTGCTGTGGCTGGGGTGCCTGTTTTGAACACAGAAAGGGTGAGCTTACACACCTGCCAGAGCTAGGGTGCCCCTGCCAGCCCCCGAGGCAGCCCCACAGATGGCTCCCACATTTGCACTCCTCCAGCTGCAGCAGTGTTGGCCACAAAGGCTCGTGATGATGTAACCAGCTGAAGGACAGCGCCCCTGCAGGCCTGGTCCCAGGTCATATGGGAAAAAGGCCACACTTTCCCACACCTCCATCTCTGGAAAAGGCCTGAGAAGGTACCTCTTCCATTCCAGGGTGTGAGAGCTCAGCAGCTTCACCCTGTGAGATGTGGACATTACTGGGGAATCCATCCACAGTGGAGGGCCAAGAAGGCCAGAGACATCAGCGTCCATCTACCAGGCCTGCAAGGAAGCCTAAGCAATGGTCTCCACTAGGCCAGTGGCCAGCTGGCTGCATCCCCAAGGCTGTGTCCTCCTGGCCACCCATCTGATTTTGTACATAAAGTTTTCTTGGGACGTGGCCCATATTGTCTGTGGCTACCTTTGTGCCACAGTGAGCCATAGCAACATAGATGACAAGGGCTAAATTAGTCACCATCTTGTCCTCAATACAGGCTTGCTATGCCCTCGCTAGAGATGCACAGTCCTGTTCAGGAGCCGCCTTCTGTTAATGTGGCTTTTTATATCTCTATTAATTAGAATTGCAGTGATCCTTCGGTATCCATAGAGATTTCTGGGACCCCTGTGTACACATTGTGTTTACACAGAATCTGTGCACATCTTCCCCTCTACATCACATCGCCTCTAGATCACTTATAATACCTGATACCATGTAAATACTTTGTGAATAGTTGTTTCACTGTATTGTTTAGGGAATAAGGATGAGCAAAAGGTCTGTACGTGTGCAGTACACCACAGTTCAACTACATACTACACAATCAGAGGGTGCTTGAATCCACAGATGTGGAATGAATGCACAAATACAAACTCCCAGCTGGACATCCAAGAAAAGATCCAGTCCTCACTTGCAGAAGCCGCAAAGCACATGTGGCCAATGTCTCCTGCATTGAGCAGCACAGAGAACATTCCATCACAGTGGGATGTTCTGTAGGGCTGCCATGGTCTAGGGGCAGCAGATACAAGGAGGAGCACATTGCTCAGCCTGGACCTGAGTTGTGTGGGATGAGAGGCTACAGGCCAGCAGTAACCCCACAGGGCAGCAGAAGAGGAAAAGGCAGTGTGCACATACACTTCACCACTGTGAGTTCCAGAGTTAGTGTTAGTTGGGAGGCAGCACCTTCTGGGTGTTCGCCTTGGAGGCTGAGCTGCCTTTATTAATAGTCACCTGGAATCCTGGAATGCTGTTCCTGATCTGATAATGTGGAATTGTCTGGCCACTTGTTGATTTTGTACAATGACTCCCACCAGGCACCAGTGGATAGTGAAGGACATAAGACTGGCCTCCCCTGGGGCTGCAGACTCCAGAAGGCTCAGCCCATCTCCATCCTGGCTGTCATGTTCCTGTGCCTGGGCTAGGCATGTGAGCCCTTTGTTCAGGGCATCTGTCCTCTGGGAAGACACTCACTCTGCTCCCCCTTAGTTCCAGGGCCCTGTGAGCCAGAAGACCTCATTGATGGAATCATCTTTGCTGCCAACTACCTGGGCTCCACTCAGCTGCTCTCTGAACGCAACCCGTCCAAAAACATCAGAATGATGCAGGCGCAGGAAGCCGTCAGCAGGGTCAAGGTAGGGCTGCCACCAGGGCTGGGGTGGGATAGGAGAGAACCAAAGCAAGGGAATGAAGTGAAACACTAACGTTCTGCCCAGCCCTGGACAACAGAAATTGACAAATGGCTAAAGTACTCAGCATGCCCTGCAGCTTAGCTGGGCAAATGCTTGGCTGGACACAGAGGCCACTAGCTCCTTAATAAAGCAAGGTCTAGCTGGGCACTGGTGGCTCACACCTATAATCCTAGCTACTCAGGAGGCAGAGATGGTGGCTCGCAGCAAATAGTTTGCAAGACCCCATCTTGAAAACAATAAACACAAAAAAGGACTGGCAGGGCACCTGCCTAGCAAGCATAAGGCATTGAGTTCAAATCCCAGTACTACCAAAAATTTAAAAACAAAGTAAGGTCTACCAGTCCCTCGGAAACATGATCTATAAAAGATGTCATTCTGAACCATTCCAGTCACAAAACATGTTTCTTTGGATACTAAAATTGCATTCCAACCCTATGTGTATTTTTAGCACCATTCAAAATACTTGCAGAAACGGGGAAAGTAAATCATGTTTTATTAAAATGCATGACCACAAGAAAAAACTCTGACGTACTTGCAGCTCCAGTCTGCCTGGTTGTCAGTGGTGGGTGAGGCTGGACAAGATGTTGAACGCACATCAGCAAAGCTAAGTGGGGGTGGGGAGGGACACTGACCCCCCCAGCGTCAAGATGGGGGCCTGCACACACTGCCAGTCCATGTGGGTGAGTGATACTCTCAGCCCTCTTCCAGCCCTCACTGTGTACTTACTTTGAGGGGACAAAGGGGCCCCCTGAGGCCATCCACAGTGGTCAGGGTTAAGCCCTGCTCCCAGTGTCCCTTGACAAAAGCCTTGGGTTCGGACACAGCTTGGCTTGTTCCCTGCTGGCTGGCCACACCTCTGTACATGGGGTGGTTGACAGTCATTTCTAGCACTGCAGGGGAACATGCATAAACCCCTCTTGATCACTGTGGGCTCAACACCGTGGTGGCTGTCCTTCTGCTGGATGTCAGGTTGGAGTACTGGGGTGCTGAGCACCAGACTGAGATAACCTGCCTTCCCTTTGTGCCCATCTGCTTTTCTTTTCTCTTACATGCTGCTCAGAGGATGCAAAAGGCCGCTAAGATCAAGAAAAAAGCGGTGTGTAGGACCACTGTAGCCCTGGACAAGGGTGTTTGTGTGTGTGTCTGTGGTTTGCCCTGTGTGGTGGTGTGTGTTGTATAGGGGAGAGGAATGTCCAGTGGGAATCCAAATAACCCTGCAAAGCTCTTTTTTCGGTAGGTGAATATTAGACTTTTGAATGCAACTACAAACAATACTTTTTGTGACTGCCCACTTTTAGAGGAATTTAGTAGTTGCTCTTTGTTATTTTTTGTTTTAGAGTCTTTCAGGTCCTACAGCATGGCTAATGCTGTGAGGTCCCCACATTTTCAAATGTGGCATTTGCTGTGACAATGTGGTGTATCTAGCACCCCTCCCCCCAGGCCTCTTATATAGCATTAAGTAAATTGTTCTGGTATTTAGGTTCACTAAGTTTGAATTATTAAACCAGGATAATGACTACGAGTTTGCCTGTGAGATGCTTTATGGAGGTGTAGCTCAATGGTAGAGCACTTGCTTAGTGTGCACTAGGTCTTGGGTTCCATCCACAGTAGGAGGGAGGGAAGGAGGGAGGAAGGAGGGAGGGAGGGGGAGAGGGAGGGAGGGAAGGAAGGAAGGAAGGAAGGAAGGAAGGAAGGAAGGAAGGAAGGAAGGAAGGAAGGAAGGAAGGAAGGAAGGAAACTTTTTGAAGCTTGAGCTGACTTTTAAAAAACTGGGTTGACATTTAACTCTTAGTTTGTTAACTTAGTCACTTAGTAAATGCTGACAACTTTCTAACTATCTCCTCATATAGAACACTTCAAAAAACTTGGTGTCAGAAGACCCAGGGCAAATCCATGGCACTGGCTTGTTGACCCCTCCTTCCTTGCTTAAACAACAAGACCTTTATCCTTCCTCTTCACCTTGAAGATGCAACATTTTCTGGGGCTATGATCCCCAGCATTTGCTCCCTTCTCCTGCAGTGAATCTCCCCGCTACTGAAGGAACTCACCCTTCTCCCTCTGCCCAAGCAGACCTTCTGCTGGGGCCTCCAGGCAAAGCAGAATGGGTCCCAGTTGCACACCTGCAGTTGGACGTGCTTCTTACAAAGAAGAGGGGCCCTTGTCTGCAGCCTCCCAGGCCACACTTGGACTGCCCAGGCATGGAGACGGCTGGAGCAGGGGAGTCCTTACCACATCCCACTCCTAGGATCTGCACATCCAATAATTCTATAGAGACATCATCTCTGGAGGAACTGGGCCTGGGTTCACCCAACTCAAAAAGGTTCAGCAGCCAGATTACATTTGATTAAGGGTCATTTTAGCAGATGCTGCTATACATCAGACATAGGCCGATCCTAGTTTCTGGCATCTATCTATAGGGTCTGTGCTAATGATTCCTTCTACTCTTTGGCCAAGGAGTATCCTGGTGACTTTCCTTCTTCCTTTGTGTTGCCTGGGTTTTGGCTCCATCCATTTATATGCCACTGGGACCTATTGCACCTGGAGTGTATTTATGGGGTTCGAGTTCTGTCTACCAGTGTCACTAACACAAATGTCTACCTGCAACTTTTCTGATTTTCTTTTGGCTTTGACCCACTTTTGAGCTACAGTCCCAGAATGTAACTTCTAAAAGTCCACAGATGTCAAATATAACCTGCTTTTTTAAATATAGAGGAAAAATTTCTGCATAATCCTGGAGACTTATTTTTAAGCTGGATTGTTTAAGACTCTGTTCTCTTTCTAATTAGTTAAAACCACTAGCATCCATGGTAGACTGAAAGCCCAGAAGAGCTCTTCCTTTGAAAACTGAGCTGAAATACAAATTTATCATTATAATATAGGGCCCCTCTGCAACTCAGAATTCTTGAGGAATTGTCAGTACCAAGGAGATTTTTTTATATGAGATTTTTCCAGTGAGTAATTAAATCACAATTTCTGCTGTTTTGAAGTAGAAGATATAACACCGTGGGCTCCCAAGTAACCACACAGAATTATTCACCCCACTGGGCAAACCAAAGAACCTATTTTTCATCACCACTGCACAGTAGTAATTAGGATCCTCAGAGGTGTAAAAACCAATTTAAGCCTGCCGTGCTTTGGGGCAGCCCTTGAGTAGTAGCCTATTCAGCTTCCAGAACAGTCCATGGAAACATAACTATCAGTCATACACTAGCTTATTCCCTTGGAGCCTACAAATCAGGGTCATTTGTGTGACAGTTTCTCCCTCTTCTCTGTGTCACTGTAGTACTGTTCTGGACCCATCCTGGCTGGGTCTTACTCTCCTTATCGTTTTTATAAGGTCTTATCAACAGGGTCCATACGAGTATGACTGTTTAAATCAGAAGCAAAGGTTGACTTCTATGTAAATATCTCCCCATTTTCTGAGGAGACTAGAACTCCCCAATCCAAGAAACCTAGCCCATGTCTAATGACTCTGAACCTTCACTCATTCCCACAACAAGGGTTAGCCAGAGAGGCTAGCAGCCTTGCTTGTTGCTGAGGGGAGGATGTGAGACCCCAGACTTTGGCTCCCCCTTCTATTCACAGTCAAGGCATTTAGATTTCCAGACTTCATTCTGGAGTAACATTTCCTTCCATATGGAGGACCCAGAGTAATTGATAAGGTCCACGCCTTCATTGGAGTGAATGATTTTGTAACAGCATCCACTGTCCTTTCTTAGAATTCTGAAGGGGACACCCAGACACTGACAGAAGTGGACCTGTTCATCTCTACTCAGAGGATCAAAGTTTTAAATGCTGACACACAGGTAAGCACTCAAAAGACAGTTGTCCAAAGTCATATAAACCAGCTCCCAAGTTCACACCTCAGTAGGTCCAGGAGAGCAGAGTCCAGCTGCAGAAATACTATCCCTGGTGCAGGAGGGAAGACATATTCCCAGGGGCTTCACCTTTGCAGCCTGGCTCTTGAGGGGGTTGTGGATGTGGAAACTGAGAAGCATCGGGCTGGAAGGACAAAAGGCCACCCCAGGTGATGAAGCTACAGTTGGGATTACACAGTGGCAAAACACAGGGGAAAAGTGAGGGCTGGGTTGAAAGTGTTTGCTTTATCCATCAGGATTCTAGAAGGACCTCCTGAAATCCCCATGTGCCCAGCCTGACACATGCAGCTGCAAGGTGGAAATCTCAGGGTGACCTATTGCCTCCCAGTGCTGGCATTCTAGTTGGAGAGTCTGTGAACCAGGTGCTTCTGCAAAGGCACTACCAGAAATCTGTTCTTTTTCATGCCTAAATCACTTTGTGACCTTTACCTCTGGTGGGGAAGACGGTGAAACATAAGTGAGGAAAAAGTGACCACGTATGAAATAGAAAGAATGGCAGAGCTGAGATGGAGCATGAGAGAGTGGGTTCGCTGGAGGCACTGATGAACTAAGGCTCAGAGTCAGGCTGCCTGGCTGGGACTCCGAAAGAGTCAGAGGCTCCCACTCCTTGGTCCTGGCAAGGCTGGCTCAATCTTCATCTCTTTGTCTTTTGGCAAGGAGTCAGATGGTGATATGATACTCTGGACCTTGTGGTAACCTGATACTTTTACCATCCATTGATGGTCTTGCCCGAGTTGCTTACAGCATAAGAAGTGCAAAGTGGTGATTTTATAATGATACCAGACTTTCTACTTTCATTAGCTGGCATTCTTCTGTGAAGAATGCTTTCTGCCTTTGATTTTCCCTCTTTCTTTTTCACTGTGGACTCTGGGCCTTTTCAAGTTCATGTTATCATCTTAGCATCTTCCTTTAGTCACTGAATGCTTCCTCACTTTCTGAGTGAACAAGATGTTCTGAGCTCACCTTGTATTTTCCCTGCTCTGGACCTGGAGCCAGCCATTTATTCAGAGCCCCATGATTCCTTTTATTGGGTAATGGCATACAAAAACAGAGACACGGTACTGGCTGTGCACATTATTAGTGAGCTATCATTGCTCCTGGGCCCTGGCAATGCACAAAGCTAGATGGTATATGTTTTAAAAGCTATGAGGTCATACTTCTGCCTCCTATTGACACCATAGGCTTCTCCTCACCATCCCAATCCCACATATGCCCTGTCCCATAGCGTTGACCCTCGTTCCCGACATCAGTGTATTTTTCTCTGTGTTAGTTAGCTTTCTATTACTGTGACAAAATATTTGAGATAATCAACTTTAAAAAGAAAAAATGGGGTTGTTTGTTTTTGCTCACAGTTTTGGAAGTTTCAATCCATGGTCAATTGGCCCCATTGATTTTGGGCCTGTGGTGAGCTAGCACATCATGGGAGGAGCATGTGATGGAGGAAGGAGCTCACCTTGTGGTGGCTGGAAAGAAAAGGGAGAGGAAGAAGGCCCGGAGTCTCTATGCCCTTCAAGAACATGCCCCTAATGACTTAACTTCCTCTTGAAGGTTCCACCACCTCCCAATAATACTTTGGGACTAAGCTTTCAGCGCATGGGTATTTTGGAGGATATTTCAAGATTCAAACCATAACGCTCTCCCTTACCATCTGTAGAAAGCCTATGTAACCGGGCTACTGGATGAGCTATGGGGAGCTCAGCAGGTAGCAGAAGACTTGGGTGGCATCTCCTCAGGGCTCAGTGGGTTTGGAGTGGCTGTGGAAACCTGCTGGAAGCCCCAAGCTCCTCCCCTGATTCCCCAACGTGGGGATTCTAGCATTTGGGGACAGAGTGGGCAGCAGGACATGTCCTGCAGTTGAGATATGTCCATTATGTGGGTCTTGCCATGACCTGCTCCCAACCCTACCACCAGGTTGCCTGCATGCCCATCGAAGTCCTCAGCACATTCGGAGTGGGCACTGTGATTTGTCTTTCTCCTTGCATGTCTATTCAGGTTCAGGCCTGTACCCTGTGCCACTGATATTTGTGTGTTGCCCTCCAAGCCTCTCCCTTGGAGCCTTGCACTTGGTGAAAGCTCAGGGAGTACCTTTGACTTTTGGCAGAGGTGAGGCCTCTGGCTTGTGATGCTTCAGACTTGGACTTTGTTTCTTCATCTTTTGTGGGCAAACCGTCTAAACTAGATCCCCTGATACCTCTATCCTCCATTCCCTCATCTACCCACCTGTATTGGGAGTCATCAAGACCACTCAGGTTCAGTGGTGCCCTAGGAGGACTCAGAGGAATTAGCACATTTTTATACTCATGGCTAAGATATATTGTAGCAAGTAGGTACAGAACATAATTAGTGTTAGTCACTTTTCCATCACTGTGATAAAAATACCTGAGAAAGTCAACTCATAATGAGGAAAGACATACTGGCTCACAGTTTCAGAGGTTTCAGTCAACAGTCACTTAGCCTCATTGCCTTTGGGCCTGTGGCAGGGCAGTACATCATGGTAGAAGCATGAGGCAAAGGAAACTGTTCACTTTATAGTAGCCAGGAAATGAAGAGAAGGGCTAGAGTTCCAACATCTCCTTCAAGGTCATGCCCCCAGTGACCAAACTTCTTCCTACTAGGCCCCACCTCTTAAAGGTTCCACTACCTCCCAGTAGCACCACAGGCTGCAGACTAAGCCTTCAACTGTTGGCTACTGGGAAACACTTGAGATTCAAACTATTATAATAAGCAAAGGAAATGGTGCTTGGGTGACTTCCAGGAGAAACCTGGTGCATGTTTCCAGAGTCCTGTCCCCATAGAGTCACATGGGACTGAGTTCTCCTGCCACAGAAGAGGACATACATGTATTGTCTGGCAGGAAGTTTATAATGACTCAGTGCCCAGGGGCGGTCATATAGGTACGCTCTGCCTGGCATGTACCAAAATTTTAGACTTTCGGGAAGAAAGGAGATGTCCAGCTTCAGCCATGTTGTTTGCACAAACTGTTCAAGTGGAGTGAGTCATACTTACCAGTTATGGTGATGACAACCCTCCTGAAATCCAGTTTCCTACTGAGGGCAGGCCTTGCAGACAGACCTTTCTCAGCGCAGCTGTCTGGCCCGCTTCCATGTTAACTCTTCTCTGCACCCCGGCCTCTGGCTTAGCCTCATGCCAGGACCCCATGCAGAGCAGGAGGATGGGCCACCAGTAGCCTGTGAGCTTGTTCCAAGTCACTCTTTAGGATGAACTGGAAGAGAAGGTTGCATCACGAGACCGTTTTCAGCAGAAATTAAACCGTTGGCAGTGGACTCCCTCTCCCACAGGTGAGAGAGAGTGTGGAGGCTGAAGTGCTCAGGCAGGCAGGATAGGTGAGATGATGGCCACCATGTTGGAGGCAGCCTTTGTGAGAAGAGTGGCTCTGCCATTGACACAGAGTAGGAGCATCACTGTCAGGCATCTCTGACAGTGGCCAGAAATCAGGAGATAAAGTATTTGCTGTAAGAGGTAGACTTTGTGAGGAGAAGGGCAGTAAAGGTTACAGACACCTGATTCCTCTTTGTGAAAGGAGAACAAAGGCACAAACCACCAACTGATTAGTTTTTCAGAGCGTTTTTGTGCAGCTTTATTAGGTAGGGGTCACGGGCAAGATGCTTGGGGGAGATTCCTGTCAGATGACAAAAGCCATCTAGAGTAATGAACTTGCCAGGGGCCAAGGGAATTGAAGTTGGCTGTGGAGACCAGTTGACAGGAGGCAAGCATCTGCCTCAGTGCCTCCTGACTCAGACCCAGGCTGCCTGGAAAGAACTGAGCTGGTAGAAAACACTGGCCTTGATACCTTTTTTGTCTGCAGGACTACTGAGTCTGCATAAGAGTACACACCCCACAGGAAGAGCCCCTTCTCCAGAGCCACGGATAGTCTGTAGCATGGAAGGGGACCAGCTTCACTACATGGAGAGCTCCATTCAGCATCATACCTCTTTGAGTGTAGGCAGAGCTCCATGTTGGTCACTTTGACTCTGAATCACCAACCTAAAACACTATTCACTAGAGCTGTAGTTCTCAACCAAGGTGATTTTGTCACCTTGGGCCTCTCACCTCTGGGCCATTTGGCAATGGCCAGAGACATTTTTGGTCCTCTTCTGTGGAAAGGAGAAGCGCTATGGGCATCCAGTGGGTAGAGGCCAGGGTTGCTGCAACATTTTCCAGTGCACAGGACAGCCCTCTACAGTAATGATTGACCTGGCCATAAATGTCAATAGGGTCAAGGTTGAGAAACCTTCAAACTAGAGCTATTGCTAATGGCTTGTCGCCATAATGTTCCCTGACACAGGCCTCTCCTTCTTCTCCCAACAGGAAACCATGATGGACCACGCCCTGCGCACCATCTCCTACATTGCAGACATTGGGAACATTGTGGTTCTGATGGCCAGACGCCGCATGCCCCGTTCAGCCTCTCAAGACTGCATTGAGACCACACCTGGGGCTCAGGAGGGGAAGAAGCAGTATAAGATGATCTGCCACGTGTTCGAGTCAGAAGACGTAAGTAAAGTCATGGATGGAATGCCCTCCATCCACCCATCTCCCAGGGGCTCCACACCCGTGGCAGCTCCAGAATTCTAGACACTTTGGAAACCACCCATTGGGGGATTTCCTGTAAAGGCCCGAGTGCCTTTATTGACATTTCCTGGGAGATCAGTGATTTTTCTTGTGCTCTCTGAGTCTGCAAAGACAGTGAACAGAGTTTTATTTCCCTTCATGAAATAAACTCTTCAGGAGCTGTCGACAAGTTGAACCAAAGTTAAATATACAAGGGGAAGTATTCATTTGAAGAAACCATTTTATAAACTCTTTCCCCCTAAAATGAAGTTAATTTTTTGTCTTAACTTTTCTGTTGTTACAATGCACATTTTCACATCAGGATTGTCAGGTAGGTGTTCTACCACCTGAGCCACACCACCAGTCCTACACATGTCAGGATTGCCCAGGGAGGCATGCTCTGATTGGGATCTGCCTTTGTATGTTATTTCACTTCATAACAAGTTTTTAAAAATCAACTTTAAACTATCAGAGATTCACTAAGAGACCATAAAGTGGTACACAGGTATAGTGTTAGCTACTGGGAGGACTGGGGTAGAAAGATCGCTTGAGCTTAGCAGTTCAGGACCAGCCTGGGCAACTTAGCGGAATCTAAGAAGTTGTCTACTTGAAATGCTTTGGAACAATGGCAAATCTGCAGGAGAGGACAGTGGTTAAATACAGACCTGTTAATGCACATGCATATTCTTTGTCCCATTACAAGGAGACCTGTAGACACCTGGATGGGCATTTCTGAGTGACTGGGGGCTTGAGGATGTGTCAGAGACCTGGAAGAAAGGCAGGCCTCAAGTACTTGGTAGTGTAAGCAGGAGTAGGCCAAATGGCAAAGGATGAGTAGTCAGCTGGTCCTTGAAAGAAGGAGAAAAGGACCTGCCTACATGGGGTGTGAGACACCCCAGAAGAGCAGCTCAGAGAGGATCCTGTCCTCCTGTGACTCTGCCAGTGTAGGCTACTGAGTCTGGGTTCCCCTGTATAAGATGGAGGGAACCTGGCTGAGGCTGCCTGCGTGGAGGGCCAGGCAAACTAGTGCTTGTGCATGTCAGCTTCCTCTTCCCCATTTTCTCCAGTACCCATACCCACCTGCAGGAGGCCACCTCTGAGTGCAAGGCACTGAGAGCCTTGGCACCTGACCTCAGCTGGGGCTTGGGCAGGACTTCACCCTTATAGCAGAGCAGGGTAGGAGTGGGCCTCAGCTAGGCACAGAAGTCCCTCTAGGCTGGCTTCTTCCTAGTCAAGGACCCAGAGAAAAGTGAAAAAATGGGAGGCAACCAGCATCCAACCAGATTCTATGGGATCCTGAATTGTGCTCCACTGCGGTGCACATTCACAGGTGCCTTGATGACATTGGTCTCTCCAGGAGTTTCTATCAGGTAGGGAGAATGTAGCTCCAAGGATAAGGACTTGGAGTTGGGAGGTGCAAGTCCCAGGAGAACCCTAGAGAGAGTCCAAGATCAGTGGGCATCCCACCAGGATTTAGGTCTAGTGGTGAAGGGATCTGATGTTAGATAGACCTCCTTTCCCAGCTGGGAGACCTCCTTCAGGTGGAGACAGAATGGGGGCAAGACAGCAGCACTGAGATCCCAGTTAGGGCAGGACAGATCCCTGCGGCTCTTTGGCTCCCTTCGCTGCCCCTCTGCTCCTCCCAGAAGCCTCCTTTGTGCCTCTGTACCTTCTCCCCACCTGCCTGGTTCCTTTCTGCTGAGCCCACTATTCCAGGACCCAGATCTTCGCCTATCCAGGCTGCTGGCGCCACCTGGTGGTACCCATACAGCCACATCCACCTATTACCAAGCATGCCTGGCATGGGAACATGAAGAACTTTGATGGGTCTTCCTATAAACTGCTGGGCCTAATTTGGGCAGGCACTTCAACCTAGAATCAGTGCTATTTAAAGAAAGCCCTGCATGCTTTTAGATAAGCACATTCATTTGCAGTGCTTAAATCGTGTATTGTGCAGAGTGAAAATGGAATTTAAGTCAAATCCCTTGTTTTCAGGTTCTGTTGAGTCCAGGTTTGCTGGCAGTGTCCTTCAAAGGTCCCCTTGATAGCAGGCAGTGTGGGAGGAAAGCACAGGGTAGAACTAAGCTGGGACTCACACAGCTCAGGTCTTGGGACAAGGGGAAGGGCACTGCTGTGCACTGAGATGTCACCAAAAGGCCCATTGCTCTCCCAAGGATGCACAGCTGCCAGCATGCTTGGTGTGGTCCAGGAGCTTGGCTCTGTAGCTCTCGCCTCCCATCATCCCTTGTCTGCACACTAGCAGGTGGTAGGCAAGGCTCTGCCAGCATGTCTCAGTGTTCAAGCCTCTGCAGCATCAAAATTGGTAACATCACAGAAGAAATTCTGTTGAAGTAGAAAGAAGTAATCTGCTTTATGGAGTCTGTGCTGGTGTCCCAAAGTCTCATGCCTCTCATAGGCCCGGCACACCCCTCCCTACAAGAGTGACAGTCATCCACATGGCCCTGACCCCTTTGGCCCTGGGTTCTGTAGCTCGGGAGAGATAGATATGGGAGAGAGAAGTAACCATGTCTGTGACCCTCCCCAGAAAAGATACCTCAAGTCTATTTTTGGAATAAGATGGGTGAAAATAGAATACACTAATGCTACCAGTTAAATAAAAAAGATATCATATTTAGCAAATATTTTATTATTTTCCTCAAGTATACTGGAAACCATGCTTTGTCCTGGAATGTCTGGGATATAAGGCAGCTCAGGGGGGCACAGTCAGGACCTGGCCCTAATGATACAAGGCAACAGATAGGTTGATCCCATGGTGGCTCATGCTGGGATGTCCACAGAAGACATCTTTCCCCAGCCAAGGGCCCAGAGTTAATCTCTTGCTTTTTGAGGCTGGAGCAAATGTCCCTTGAGGGCTTACGGGTGCCTTCTGCATCTAGCCCTGCAGGGGTCCTGTGGAGCCTGTGTGTCCAGGCCTGTATCTAGCAGGCCTGCTTTCTCCCCACAGGCCCAGCTTATAGCCCAGTCCATTGGGCAGGCCTTCAGTGTGGCCTACCAGGAGTTCCTGCGGGCCAATGGCATCAACCCTGAAGACCTGAGCCAGAAGGAGTACAGCGACATCATCAATACCCAGGAGATGTATAATGACGACCTCATCCACTTCTCAAACTCAGAGAACTGCAAGGAGGTAAGCTGTACCCATGGCAAGGCCCCAAAGGCCAAACTCCTGTAGCCCTGAGCCAGGCAGGTGGGAGGGTGGCTGTCCTGGCAGTGCTCAGGGCTTCCCCATCTCAGCTCACCAGACCAGGATGAGGTCAAGGCTGCATGCAGCCATCGTGCACAACACTGCCTTATGACAGACTCGGGGGCTGCCTAGGATGTATGCTTTACTCCTGCCTTGGAGCTGAGCACTTGTGTGTGAAATGAGATGTTGGAAACAAAGAAGCTGATTGCACCCGGTCTTAATGACCTTGAAAATGTGCCTTTTAGTGCTGTTATTACCATCAGCTGGAATATTTCTGAAAAGCATGTGGGAGGTGTCTTTAAAATAGGGTGTTTGGGTGCTCTAGCAGGGCAGTTTTGAAGTTGCCAGTGGTAGAGCACCTTCTAGTGACTTCCCCTGGGATCTTTAGAAGCTTCTAGAACAGAGAAGCAAATATGCTATAGAGCCTGTAGTTGTACTGCTTGTTGGATAAATGAGTCTGTCCTTCTGTGAATGAGTGAATGAATGAAGGATCCTGGATGCTGAGTGCTTTTTGAATAAATGACCCTGACTGCTTATTGAATAAGGGTTTTTGCTGAATGCATGTCAGGCAGTTTTCTGAGAGAGCCACCTTTGAGACAAGGAAACACTAGGAGGTTGTGGACCAGAGCAAAGGCCAGGCAGGACATGGGATGCATGCTAGAGTTTGAGAACACTCCTCTGGTCTCTGAGGCTTTGACAGGTGGGGAGCCCGTGCCAGGACCCTGGAGCCATGTTTGGGGCTGAGGGATTCCATGCTGGGCATAGGAGGAGAGCGACTCCATGCTCCCAGGTTCCCAGGATTGCTGCTGGACTTAGGGGGCTTGGGAGCCAGAGCAGGACCAGGCTCTTCCTTCTCCTGGTGTGTGGAGGGCCCGAGTCCCATCATGGGTCCTCTCACACTGTCAATTCCCTTGCAGCTGCAGCTGGAGAAGCACAAGGGTGAGATTCTGGGCGTGGTGGTGGTGGAGTCAGGCTGGGGCTCCATCCTGCCCACTGTGATCCTGGCAAACATGATGAATGGTGGCCCGGCAGCCCGCTCGGGGAAGCTAAGCATCGGAGACCAGATCATGTCCATCAATGGCACCAGCCTGGTGGGGCTGCCGCTCGCCACCTGCCAGGGCATCATCAAGGTGAGCATCCTGGGACCCTCAGCCCAACAGCTCTTCCAGCCGTGCCTCACAACCTATGAGGACACTGAGAATCCAGAGGACCCACCTGGTGACTGATGGGTGATAAAGTCAGTTGATCTTACAGCTGTATCGTATGACTGAAATCAGAAGGCCCAGGCTGCCCTAGATGAGGGAGCAGAAGGCTTCCTTTCACTCAGCCTAGGACTGAGCCATGCTGACCCTGGGCCAAGGGGCTAGGACCTATAGATGTAAGTGCCCAACCCATCGGGGTTCACCTGAGATATTCCCAGTAAAGCACTGGAAGTTCCACTTCCAAAATCCCCCTTAGTCATGGCAGGCTGGAGGAGGGACACCTTACATGAATCCAGCACAAGGAAGCTGGTTTCCTTTCTGATCGTCTGACCTGTGGGTTTGGGGCTTTGGAAGGTGCTGAGTTACCTGTCCCTGAAGTGGGGTTTTAGGCAGAGGAGAGACACCAGCAGGTAGGGTCGGAGCCTTCACACATGGCTACCACAGAAGGAGCAGACTCCAGAGAGCAGGCACTGCCTGTTGGTGGCACCCTATGGCATGTCCATGGTCTCATGCCCATACTCTGGGACTCCAGTGATGCTGGAGCTGGAGGAAGGTCCCCCTCTCTCCCTCTTTCAGCCTGAGAAATGAAGGGCATTCCCAAGACCAGAATATTCCATGAAAAGGCTTTTAGAGCCCAGTGGAGCCTATGCTCAATGGGAGACAAATAGGGAGAGGCCCTGGTCAGCCTTTTGGAGGCACCATGTACATGCAGGGTTACCCCCGTCTCCAGGTGAGCTGAAAATGCAGCCACGTAAGGGTCAGGCCCCTCCCCTTGCTTCTAATTTCCCACCTAACTCAGACCTGCAGCCTGGGGTGCTCAGTGGCAGACATGTCCCTCTGGAGTCTGAGGCCACCCTTGGTTTCAGGCCTGTCCCGCTCTGTGCCTTGATGTGTTCCGTCAGTGGGACTCCAAAGAGGAAGTTCTCCTTAGATCTCATCCCCTCCCTTGATCCCTGAGGGTGACCCTCACACTCCATGCATTGGATCTACGCAATGGCACTGGAATCTTGCTTCTGGATCCCGGAGCGGCAGGTTTTTACCCAGGGCAGAGAGTATGCCAGAGCATGGTGGGGCACAGTGTGTCCTGCCACCCTGGATACCCAGATACTCTGTGTCAGGGCAATCTTGCCCTCTGTATGGAGGGTGACTGAGGCCAAGAAGCGACTGCCTATCTCATCCAGGGTACAGTACTCTGTGTCCGTCCCCACCCCGCCCCTGTCACCTAACTCATCATTGGCTAGATCCTGTGAGGCCCGCTCACAGTGTGGTCTAAGGTCCAGCCTCTGACCCTGCTCCCCTTGCTCTGCAGGGCCTGAAGAACCAGACGCAGGTGAAACTCAACATTGTCAGCTGTCCCCAGTCACCACGGTCCTCATCAAGCGACCAGACCTCAAGTACCAGCTGGGCTTCAGTGTGCAGAACGGCATTGTGAGTCCACTCTCCTCACCCTGGGCTCCCTCTGCCGTGTGTGAAGACTGGGTACCAGGAGGTAGGGTGGCAGCTTCTGTCTGAGGGAGGGGGAATAGCCAGCCAGCACCTGTCCAATGTGTACGGCTGCCCACAGTTAAGCCACGTGGGCCTGGAGTGTTCCAGGGCTCTTAGGGCAGGTCCTGGGTACTAGTCTAGGTGGAAAGAGAAGACCAGAGTATGGCCCCATGTCCCAGGGAGGGCTGTTCACAGCAAATGCCTACTTCAGAGGGGCGGGCAGCTTGGACACACACAACCTGTGGTAGCATCAGATACACTGTGCCCCAAAACACTTGTTCACTCATTCATTAATTCATTTAGTCTTTCATTCATTTACACAGCTGCTCAGCAGACATTTATGAAATACCTGGCATGTGTTAGGCTCTGTGCTAGGCATTAAGGGCTTAGAAGGGCTGCCTGGAAGAGGTAATGCAAGGCCCGAGTGAGTGTGGGTCTGGCCAAAAATCCATGCCTGTTCCCCAGTACTACTTCAAAGTTCCCACCTTCTCTTTGACTTGTGTTTGATAGGCCTGAGTTCCATTTCCTTGGGTTTTCCTCCTGCAAAGGTCCCAGAGGGCAGAGACATGGCCACTTAGTGAGTACACAGCGGGGCCAGTAATGCCAAATTGTTTAAATCAATTCTGAATGTTAAAGAGAGCTTGTAAATGAGAAGGGATTTGTTTGGAGGTGAGAGGGAGAAAATGAGTGTGCTTATCAACAACACTGAGTGAACACACTGGAAGAATATTCTAGAAAGAGAACTGTGAATGAGAGTAAAATTTCCCCACTGTTAACTAGAAATGTATAGAGGGTCCCAGTGCCTGGGTAGAGTCACAGGTCAGTCAAGCTGTGCTGACCAGTGGTGAAGAAGGAGAGCAGAGTCAAGGCAGAGGAGGGGCTCTGATTTGTGCCCTGTTGGGGATGAATTAAGGAGGAAGGTAACACTGACAAGCCACATGAGGCTGCAAGCCCTCCTCCTCAGAGACCAGGAGAGAGGGCAGCTGCCTTCTGGGGAAGGTCTGGCAGGGTCTACAGCTGCGTCCCCACAGATGGTGGTCAGTGGGAGCAGGTGGCCAGCTGGCTGAAGGCAATGAAATGGGATGGGGCTTCTCAGAAGTTTGAGGGGTGCACAGTTCAGGGTAGCTGCAGATCTGAGCTTTGCAGAGCTGGGGGAAAATCATGTATAATTTTAAGGACAAAATTGCCAGGGCCACCCATCCAAGGTCACAGATATCCAGGGGAGGGATGTCATCCTCTTCTAGGTGCCTCAGACTCTGGCAGGGACTGAGGTTTGAGGTGCTGATGGGTACACCCCTAACATGGGGGTTTGGGGTATCCATGGGGCACCACTGTGGGTGAAGAGAGCCCTGCTTGCTAACGGGCTATTGTTTCACCCTCTGGCCTCAGCCAACCTGTCTGGGGAATAGGGCCACACGTCTTTGAGGCCCCAGCACTTAGTGCTGTGGGGGAAGGCTGGTGGATGAGAGGTGGGGGGGACGTGGTGGCCCTTGAGGACTTTCTTTTGGGTGTGTGGAAGCTCACCATGAGAGAACTAGCCAGGGTCTTAGCTGAGGGAAATTAATCTGCATGTTTTTTTCCTCACTGTGACCTGCCTCCCCAGTGACCCAGAAAAAAGGATGCAGATAGCTGTGCATATCAACCACACCTGTAGCTGGCTCTGTGTTCTGGCAGGAGACCCCAGATCCTTCAGTACACCAAATACTGAACTGTCTTCTGCCCCTGTCCGTGTGAATGACCACTGTGGCAGGAGGGTCAGGGGCTGGACCTTGGGCTCAGCCCTCTGGGCACTGGGAAACATAGTAGGCCACAGCCACTGCCACCTCTGTTGACAGCTACTGCTGCCTCCACTCCCTGCAGGCCAGGTCTGTCCTTGCCCCAGGCATGTCATCACCTGCTGGGGTTGATGTGCACCTCAGGGGAAGAGTGAATTTGGGGAAACACACAGGTGCTGGGGTCTCTGGTCCAGTCCCTTGCCCTTCATAGTATGGTCAGGATGAGCTAGTGGCCATGAAGGCTGTGGCATCAGCTTCTACCCCACCTAGCCTCTGTACAGGAACCAGGTCCTCAGCTTCTGCTGCCCAGCCAGCCCTGCAGCAGTGAGGCTCTTGCCTGGGCCTCCTTACTCCCCAGGGGCCTGGCCACACTTTCTGGAGTTTCCTCTTACCCTTGCCAAGCCCCTAACCTGAAGTGCTTATTCCAGCCAGCCTGGCACAGCCATGGGGCTGTGCATATCCCCACAGTAAACAGAGACCCGCCAGCCTGCACAGTGTCTGATCATGCAGTGACTAGGATGGTGTGGTTACTGTAGTCACACTTCCTGTAGCAGGTGGCAGGGCTTGATTTTCAGGGTGAGCCCTTTGTCCCCACACTGGGGCCATCTGTATTGGTTTGGATGTTGTGGGGGGAGCCACACAGTGGGCTGTGTGCATGTGTGTGTCAGGGCAGGTGTCCTCTACTTCTGCCTCATGGGGCTCTAGCTTGTTCTACTAGTCCTGTTCTACTGCCCCAGTGTGACTGAGTCATTCACTTTGCCTTTTTCTTTTGTTACAACTCTTCTAGGAGATCCTTTTCTCATGTTTTTAATAACCATTCACATGCTGTACAACCAGCGTGCAGAACTCCTCAGCTTGCAGAACTGAACCAGTTTCCATTCCTCCTCCTTCAGCCCCTAGAAACCTCCTTTCTACTTTCTGTCTTGAATTTGAAGACTCTTTATACCTCATATAAGTTCAATCATACAGTATTTGTCCTCTTGTGACTGGCTTGTCACAAGTGCTTGTCCTCAAGGCTCATCCGTGTTGCAGCAAGCGTCAGAATTGCCTTCCTTTTAAAGACTTAATAATATTCCATTATGTGGATGTGATGCATTGTATTTATCCACCTGTCCATCCATGGACACTTGGGTTGTTCCCACGTCTTGGCTCCTAGGAGCCATGTTGCCATATAGACGGGTATGCACGTTGTCTGTTTTCCAGTCTGCCTGAGTCTCATTGTCACAGATGCTCCCATTTCCTCCTGTCCATCTGTCCAGGACAGGTCCAGGAACCAGCAAATGGGAGCCACCATGGTCAACCCCTTTCCCACAAGACCTGGGGTATCCCTGTGGCAGCTGGTGCCTGGGAGAGAGGTCCAGTTGTGGAATGGCATCCTCTGTCACCAGTTCACAGATGAAGGCACAGAAAGAAACAGGGAGGAGACATATTTGCCCCAGGTCTCCCAGCTGAGAAGTGGCAGAATGGGGACAAAGGGGACATGTCCACTGCCTCTTTGCAGTGTCAGTGGAAGGCACATGTGTGAACTTAAGGACACTTGGAATCAGTACAGGACTGATGTGTTTGGCACTCAGGATTTCAATAGCCACACATTCACAGTACCCATGAGGCCCTGGTTATAGCTTTGGTGCTGGCCAGCCAACCAGTCCGTCTTCCTACTGAGCCCACAAGGAGCCTGGAGCCCACTCATCACTGTGCACCATGAAGCCAGGGTCCCCTGAGTCTCCTGGAGAACTGTGCCCACCTTGGAGCTGGTTTTGCAGAAGTGCTTGTTCCATTTTCAGCCTCATTACACCTAAAGTACAATGCATTAGTTTGCATGCAGGCTCTGATGACCCAACTCATGCTATTTTCAAATGAATCCCACCTCTCTCTTCTCACAACATCCTCCAAGGAATCAGCAAGTGTCTCCAGCCTGGAGACACTAGGCCTCCTCTCCAGAAGTGCACAGGTGCTGAGGTCCCAGTTCCTCCAGGGCATGTGTTGGTGGGTGGAAGCCACTGCCGCTATGTGCATGTGTGGATGCCCCTGATACCCTTCCGGGCCCCCAGATTCCTGTTGGTTCAGGTACCAGGATCTGAGTCCCTCCTCTCTTTTCTTAAGGCACACACCCATTTTCATCTCTGCTCTGCTTTCCCTCTATCCTCTCGGCTTGAAACTCCAAGAATACAGACTGCAGCCCCCAGGGATTTGACCCAAAGAACACTTTCTGAGGAGAGTCCTAGCTTCTGGTCAGGCCAGAGAAGTGAGCTGGGCCATATTGAATCACTTTCTTCTGGAACTTTGACACAAAACCTTTGACACAAAACATCCTTAAGTCATTGGATTAGGGTGATGGTGGTAACAATTAATCCTCAGTATTTGTGCAGACTCGGAGATAATTAGGTGAGCAGAGCCCTCTCTGGGTAAGATGGCCACAGCACAGGCCACCTCTCCTGCTCTACCCATCTCTCTGGCAAGTCCCCTGTCAGCCAAGTGCCTGGTTGTGGCACATTAACTAGACTCAGCTGTAGGAGTCCTAGTGGCCAGGTGATAGTGGCCTAGGGCTGCAGCATCAGACTACACCTGTATGTCAGTCAGGACAGGATAAGGATCCTGCGTGCTGAAAGGGTCAGGCTTCAGGTACCAACCCACGATCCCTACACATAGTCACTTAGGAAATGCCTGAGGTGTTTGTGACCACGTAAAATTCACAAAATAAATGATAGGAGTCATTTGGGAGCCACTTGGGTCAACCTATGGACTTAAACCTATGTCGGTCTTAAAGAGATGCCCTGTGTGCACTGAGAGAGATGCAGGGCAGACAGTGGAGGTGGCCAGAAGAAACTGGATGAGGAGACCATCCTGGCCTGTGTCCTGACACAGGCAGAGCCCCCACCAAACAGTCTCCACATCTCCCAGGCCAGCAGGGTCCCCAAGAAGAGCTGTCCACAGGTAAAGCCTTTCCACAGAGTGAAAAGAAGTCACCTGGGGAGGAGGATCTGGCCTTTCTGCCTGAGATCTCCCGCCACCCACAGTGGTAGGCAGCTAACCTTTGGCCTTCTAGAGTTGCCTTAACTGACCCTGGATTGTGGTTCCCTTTTCAATATGAAAAGTGCGAGAATTACGCTCACCTGTCCAGACTCAAAGAATGGACTCAGAGACATGTGAAGTACAGTGAAAGTGAGGCTTTAACAGCAGTCTTGCAAGATTGGATGCCTGGCTAACAGAGACACCGGAAGCAGTTACAAAAAGTATTATATCTTCTAGTGCACAAGTCCCTCCCCCCGGTTCCTCATTGGCTGAGTATTATGAGGTGTACATTCTTTTCCCAGATGTCACCTAGATTTCCTGTTGGGTTAGTTAAAATACGCCTCTTGGGACTGGTCAAATTTTAGAGGCAGACTTTAGGTGACATTTGGCTCTTTTGTGGTGGGAAGGTTTCCCTGTGACATGTGCCTTCTGGCACATATACAGTTTTTACCCATTTCCTCATTCTATTGTAATTTACCGCTCCCAGTTTAAGTTTGTGTATCAGTTGCCATCCCCATCCCAACATTCACAAGCCGATATGCAAGCAAATGGCTAGGCTTAAATGCCTTGCCTTGAAAATGGACCACCACTGACTTTATTTCCTACAGAAAGTCATAAAAACACCAATTAGACAGTAGCAGAACTGTTAAGTGTTGGCAGATTGAGGAAATCCTACGAACAGAAAGCCACTATGAATTCACAAGGCTCCTGAGCCCCCTGGGGCCAGCGTTAGCTTGCCTGTACCCCTCCACCTGCCTTTGGACTCTGTCACCCTGTCTTCAGATACAGGCAGAGATTCTGAGACAGTGCTGGGGAAGGAGCTAAGCACGGTCCCCATGTTGCCAAGTGGATGGAGGGGGGTTTTCTGGGGGCTCCGCACGCTAGCTGAGGTGTCTGTGGACTTCACGCTCCCCTGTCATCATGCTGCCTTCATTTCCATGCCTTCTGCCAAGCCCAGACATATTTGGGGGAAGCTTTGTGAGTATAGCCCCCTTTTTTCCTTGCTGAGCAGGACACACATGAGAGCTAGTGACCCACATATCCTTTCAGGATGTTCAAGCAGCCAGACACAGGGATGATCAGAAAGCCACTCAGTAGTGGAATGGGAATAGAGCAGAGCTCTGGTGCAAATTGTGGGGTTGAAACCATAGGCATGGGATGCAGGCTGGCTCCAGACAGGGGCTATCCAGGCTTCCGTCTTTCCACAGGGCCTACCTCCTCTCTGTGAGCACACAGGCTTCACCTGCCAGGGCTGCTGTCCTCTCCCTGGTGTCTCTGTGATTTTGAGTGAATTTCATGAATATTGCATGTGGGTAGAGACAAGGATTGCCCTTCCCCAAATTCCACTTATAAGCTGATGAATTTATCATCATCTTGGGATACAGGATTATATTCCCTTGAAAGAGGACTAGGGTATGGCTGACAGAGAATCATCCAGAATGTGTACTTACTGTGTACAGCGCTGGCTTCCACTCTTTGTCCACACCAGTAACAATGGCTCCCAGGCTCCACCATGGGAATTCTGATGGTCTGAATGATTTCCCACACAGACCACCATGTTGGCTCTCTTTCTTAAATCTATTCCAAATCATTAAAAGCCCCTGTTTATAAGTCAGGGCATTGCATTGTGTGTAGAAGTGTTCAACCTTCTCTTGAAGAGCCGTTTCTCTTCTTCCATCTTTGTGGACATGGTGGAGCACCTGGGGGTGTGGTGGGAATGTGTGTACTGACCTGACCGTGTCCACTCAGATCTGCAGCCTCATGAGAGGGGGCATCGCGGAGCGAGGTGGTGTCCGTGTCGGCCACCGCATCATTGAGATCAACGGTCAGAGTGTAGTGGCCACAGCCCATGAGAAGATAGTGCAAGCTCTGTCCAACTCGGTTGGAGAGGTAAGACCGGGACAACCTCCCCTCCACCACCTTTCATTTTCTCAGAGTCAGAATCTGAGTCTAGGGGTATTTCAGCCTGTACTTTTTCCATGACCAGCATCTAGCCCCATGGGAGGGGTAGAGGACCCCTCTTGGGATCCTTGGGAAAGCCCTTGGGAAAGCCATTGGTCCCTTCCTAGGATCCCACCCTCCTTAAACAGCCTACACCTGCTGGGCCCTTGGTCTTGCATCTATTTACTGGTTTGTGTGTGCTCCCTATGTTGACCTCTGTGAGCCACCCCTTCTTCAGGGGCCACTGGGCATCAGCTGAACTGGCCCAGCTATGTCTCCATCTCAGGGTGCCCATGACAAGGACCAGCAGAGCGGCAGGTGGTGTTCAGCCATCCCTCCAGCTCTGTTGAACTGTGCAGCCAAATGTCTTAGAGGGCTGAGGCTGTGGGTAGAGCTCCCTTGCAGTTTCTGGAACCAAGTGATGCAGGCCTAGTTTAGGAGCCTGCCCTGCGGGCCCAGCCCTCAAGGGCAGGAGGCTCTGGCCACAGCATCGAGTTTGTCCCCTCCTGCCACCTTCTGGCCCAAAGCCAGGCTGGTTAGCCTCTCCTGCTTCTCTGGCTCATAACCTTTCTTAGTCCAGTTCTTTCTGGTGTCATTTCCATGGCAGCAGCATGGCTGAGGGTCCCAAGGTCACAGTTATCCTCAAGGGGCTCACAGGTAAGCAGCATGGCTCAGAGTGAGGAGCAGGAGGCTCGTGTGGATGATGCATGGCACACAGGAAGGAGGCCTTCCCAGGATGGGTGTGGTATGGGGTATATACAAGGGTGTGTGTGCATATGAATGAGGGGGGTAAGGGTGTTTGTGACATGTGTGTGAATGTGTATGTAAGTGTGGGTGTGTATAAGTGTATGGGCATGTGAGTGTGGGTATGTGTGAGCTTGGTTGAGTAGGGGGATATGAAATGTGTGTGTGTGAGTAGGGTATGTGTGAGGGGGTGGCCACAGTGAATGGGACTAGGGTTTCTGGAAAAAGCATGAGTGATGACACTAATGGGGTTGGTGGCAATGGGGCAGAATTAGGGAGATGCATGAGAGAAGGGCCAGTTGAGTGCCTGGCAGAATTTGGGATGGATTCTGTGCCCCACCCTGCCCCCCAAAGGCTCAGGTGTCCTCGGTCTCCCCTCCCTTACCCCCATGACTATGGGGAAAAAAGCCTAGACTCCATCTTTGTAGTGTGTGGGAGTGGGTGCTGTTTCCTGAGGGAGACTCCAGATCACATCCCTCCTGGGGTGACATCAGGACACAGTATTTTGTGAAACCTCAGGGCCAGGGGATGAGGCACATTTCCCTGGACTGGTGCTAGTGATGGCTGGCCCTTAGAAGGAAGAGAGGCCAGGGAGATGCTGTTAGCTTCCTTTTACAAATGGCTTCCAAGAAGCAAAAATCCAATTTTCTTAAGTAGACTCTTGGAAATGGCTTTCCCCAGGGGAGCCATCAGCCCCATTCCTAGAGAAATCAATCCAGTGAGGTAGCCAGCCTAGGAACCATGAGAAATGATTCTAACTCCTCAGACCTGAGACAAATGGATATTCAAAGAGCAGGAAGGCAGGCCAGGCCACCAGGGCAGTAGAATTCTTTCAGCCCTGTTGGCTGGGCTGTGAGATTAAAGTGTCTACCTGCATTTTCTGTCATGTCAGAGCACATTTGGAAAGTTAGTCACTGATAAATAAGACTTGAAGTTTTGAGGAACCTTGGGGGTGTGTTTCAGATTGAGAAATTACTGAGAATGAATCTTGTGATGGAAAAAGTCATCCTGGGGTGACAGAGGGGCTAAAATCTGGACGGATCAAGCAATCCTGATGGGGTAGGGATGAGAAAACCAGATCTGCACAATTCACCTGTCTGTGCTGGTTACGCCCCTAGATAGACCCAGATTCTTTCCCTGCTCACCAGGATGAGGAGAGGCCTGAGCACAGCACAGTCCTGGACCCGAGCAGGAGCTAAGGGAAGTGAAATGCAGAAATAGGGCTCACCTGCTCTTTGCTTCACCTGCTCTTGACTGTCTTCATCCCAGGTCATCATGCCGCCTCCCCATGCCTCCTTCAAGGGAAGACTGAGCTTGGCCTTCCTGGGGAGCGATCTTAAGCCTTGCCTGTTGTGTTCTCAGCCCATGTGGAGTCAGGAAAGGAGACCAGAGGACTAGGGGTTATTTGCTTAGTGTCCCCACAGGATGGGGGTCTCAAAGCTCCCTGTCCCCTCAGCGAGCCAGCTCCTGGTTCCAGAATTCTTGCCTTTGGCAGTGTTGATACTGTGGGAAGAAGGGTGTGCATCTTCTGTCTTGTTCTCCCTGCCACTGATACTCAGGGCACACCTGGCAGTCTCTGAGGGTATCCCTAGCTGAGTGGGAATATTGTAATCACCTTTAGAAGTCCAGCTTTTCAGTCCCCTGGTGGCACCCTGTGAAAATTAGCACTGCATCATGTGTAAAAACCCTCTAAATACAGGGATTGGGATCCCAGCCTGTCTGTCACAGGCCATTCTTTTTCCTTCACTGCGAGACTGGCACTCCAAACAGGATCAGGGCACCTATCTTCTGTCTGCACTTAATTGCATGGAGGAGAGGGAGGGAGAGGGAGGGCAGGCCGCAGCTCAGCCTCCTGTCTCTGTTGACAGATTCACATGAAGACCATGCCTGCTGCCATGTTCAGGCTCCTCACGGGCCAGGAGACCCCGCTGTACATCTAGGTCCACCCAGCTTTTGCCATGGAGCCAGGGACACCAGGCAAGCCCCCCTGGGCCCAGAGGAGCCAGAAGCCAGGACAGAGCCCTGTTCCCTGACCCCATAGCCCAGCCAAGGACACTGGCTCCCCTGAAGGGCATGCCCTTACCACCCAGTTCCTTTTGTTGTCTGTTTTCTAGTTTGTTTGTTTGTTTTTTTCATTATTTTTCCTAAAAAAGTTATGTCTTTATCAAAGGAGAGTCGCAGGAACAAACCATTGTAAAAACACTCAAGTATTTTGCCGCATTTGGAACTGTTTTCCCATTGCAGCTGATGAAGGGTTCTCATGGGTAGCTCTGTGTGGTGTGTAGCGTATGTCTTTCCTCCCTGAGGCTGTAGAGTGTGAATACAGGCTCCCACCCATGTGGCCATGAACTGAGTCCTCTGTAGGGGCAGCTCCCTAGGCAGGGGACACTGGGCAGCCCTCTTTTGCCCCCTTGGCTGGGACACCTGTGGGGTTCCCAACAGGCCCACGTCTGACCCTGCAGCTGCCTCCACAGGAGCGTGGGCAGCCCAGCTGTGGATGTGACTTGTGCTGAAAGTGTGGGGACGTGATTGATTGTAAGTATTACCCCAGAAAGGAGTTATTCCTGAGTTAAATAAAGATGATGGTCACAACAGCAAAATTCCATATTTCTTTAGAATATTTTACCATTTGGACTTTTTTACTTTGGCAAGCAGTTCTTCAGACTTTTAGGGTTTCAATAACCTGTAATAACACCTGCTTCTCCTGCCTGAGTCTCTGTGATCTGGGCCCCTCCCTCCTGACTGCTTCTCCACCATAGGGCTTCCTGCCAGATGAGAACCTGCTCATGTCCTGCCCAGGATAAGGACAGCATGGACATCTGCGCCTGTTTAAAATCTACACACACACACACACACACACACACACACACACTCCCTGAACAAACAAAATCCACATCAGAAAACTCAACCTCTGCCCTTCCCAAGGCAGCCAGCTGTGAGCTCAAATTACTTGGGAAGGGAGACCCATCCACAAGCAGTATTAGTGTGTGTAGATCAAGGAACACAGCCTCTGGCTCAGCTCACTAGAGATCAATGTTAACTGACGTCATTTTGTCTGGAAGTCTCTTTTTTTGGCGCAGGCCTTGAAGAATACACTGTGACTTACAAAGCCTTACCACGCAGTAACTAAAGCTTTAGGATTACTGTATTCGAGGAGTAATCTATGTGTTGCATGCAGCTGACCCTAGGAAGATATCGCCCATATCACTAATAAATTTTAAGTCATGATGAACCGCTCCTCGTGTGGCTGGTTTGTCCGCTGGGTGGTGTGCGCCTCTAATTTTCACATTCCAGACAGTGCTGTGTGGTGACAGCAGCCCTCCTGGTCTGGGGTTTCAGGAGCTCTTGACCTTGAGGTTGGAGGGTGGACACTAAGGTCACCAGGTGTCAGGTGGTATAGCCATGCAGCAGCCATGTGAGAGCCTAGATCTGGGTTCCCTACCTACCTGCCCCAGGGAAGAGACACAGCTGCAGGCCACTGACTGGTGAGGGAGCAGTGGAGCTTTGACGTCTATAGATTTAAGTTTAAGTTACCTCCAGGAAAAGAAACTGGCCCACCCCTCTTCCTGACTCCTCTGTATCCTGTGGGGTCCTTTGCAGCCCATCAACAATGGCAGGACTGGGCCAACTCGCTTATCATATACCTTTCTATGTGGCCTTGGTCCGGTGTCACCAGGCATGGATTTCAGTTAGAAGGCCAGAGTGGGAGGCTCTAACCCTATTAGCCTGGGCCCGTGGCAGGCAGAGTCCCTCCTCTCCAGCCTGCTCACAGCAGTGCTCACCCCACTGCCATGAGCTGCTATCCAGATGCCTTCATGGCCTGCAAAGTGACAGACTTGTTCTGTCTGATCACCCAAAGGATCTGAGGCAGGTTCTGCAACTCTACATTGACCAAAGGGGCAGGTGAGAAATAGGTTTTCACCATGAACTGCAGCTCCACACCTTTCTTTTCCCAGAAAGGATGCATGGAGTTCAAAGAATCCACCTGGAGTAGGAGCAGGATCTAAGGGTCCTCCACTTAGGGGCAAAGGGGAACATCCCTGCAGTGCCCAGGATGAGTGAGATACATGCATGGGTTCCAGAGAGGAATTCCACAGCTAGCAGATGACATGGGGCCTGACTTCCAACAATTGACATTTTAGAAACCCAAATTGAGGAAATACTGGATCACAGGTTCGCCTTTCTCACAGCAGCTCTTGAGTGTTGCATCCATGAAGGGTCAGCACAGGCGGGACCTGTGTGCACCAGGGCCTGCCTTCTCCCTCTCAGCCCCTTCCCCAAAATCCAGTTCCTATACAACCTTGCTCTTGGTCAATGGTGTACACCCGCCCTGGGTCCGACTCTGCCCCAATTAGACCTCAGCGACACAGAGGCCAGAAATACTTTTTATTAAAACACTGATCATTATTAAAACACCTTGAGGTACATTAAATAAATACAACCTTTCAAGTTGTACAAACAGGTCTCTGGTGGCTTGAAAACAATTTCCTATAAGTTCTGCCTAGCAGCTTCTGCGAGTTGATACAGCAGAGGGGGAAGAAAAGAACAACCACCTGAAATAAGCTTTCTGTTACAAGGTTTGTTGCAAGCATTTAATCTGTATTGTCTCTAGCAGGAGACTAAGTCCATGTGAGGGATACCCCTCAACTTTTTTGTGGTAGAGTAGGGATCCAGATTTTGCCTCTTAGCCTAAGCTGTCAGGGATCATTACCTATCCTTGATCCAACTTCTCAGAGCCCCAACCCCACCTTTTCCGGCCCCTGGCCAAGGTGACACTTCAGCATCCTCATCCCCTTAGGTCAGGATCAAAGAGCAGTGTCCTAGCAGGTGCCAGCCTCCTTTGGGACCCCCACGCCCAGGACCTGGCAAAATTAGAGGGGGAAAGTTGCCTCTAAAACAACCACTGTCAGGCTCATTTCAGATACCAACACATGAAGCACGAGAACAGACTTTTGGGTAGGAAGCACACATAAGCAAGGGGTTGGAAGCCATCTTTTCCCCCTGCCTGGGGGGCTCAGTGGCCTGATGCTGGAGCTCCTAGTACTAGGACTCCACTGAGTCGGGGTCAAGAGGCACACGGGATGAGTCAAGTTACCAGCACATTCCCTAGTGACTTTAATTGGCACCTCTGTCTTCTGGGGTCTTTCCTTGGAAGCCTGGAACCTGGACCTTCTTGGTGCCCATGCAGGCCCTTGAGGTCTGCCATCTTTGACAGCCTTGCTTCAGGAAGACAGAAGTTTCTAACACAGCGATATCCACTTGGGTGGTTTTTATCCACAAGTCAGAGCTGCTATGAGAGTGACAATGGAGCTCAAGTGGTATGCAGTTGCTGCTTTCTTGAGAATGTATAGTCCTGATAGCTTCCAGGCAGCAGCTGGCACCCAAGGGAGGCACAGCCTGAGGCAGGAGTCCCAAATGGCAGATAGAAAGGTCCCACCACAGACAGGCAAAGTGAAGGACACAGCACCAGGCCGACTCGTCCAGCTGCTTGCCTTGGCTGCACAATAAACACCCAGAGCTCGAGTGTGTGGGATGGGACGTGGTCCTGGCCTCCCCTTGGATTGCAGTTAGGCCTGAAATCTGCAGATTCAGCCCACCCAAGGTCTCATTTCAGGGACACTGCTGCATGGACCCCACCCCCATCCTGCAGCTGGCTGCACTCCATCTCACCTCAGAGACGATGAAAATGCCCCCCAGTTCTTCACCCAGGCATCATCAGGCTATGCTCACAGGCTCGGGGGAAGCCATTCTGAGAAAACATCAATTAATTTTTCCTGCGAAAAGACTTGCTTTGGGGGACTTTGAAAGTCCTCACTTGAGGAAAATTAGAAAATAGATTTCCCATTTTACAGTCTGAATAAAGTGCTCATAAATTCATCGCTAGTGTGTCTCTTGTGGAAAAGGTAAGGTTGCTATCAAAAAGACTGACATATTTTTCAGCTTTCTAATTACAGGGAGGCAATGACCCCTGACATTAGTGAAGCAATCAAGGCAGTGGCAGCTGACTGTCACTGGGACATTGCTACACCACACTTGGACTGGAGGCCCCTGCCACTTCCTTCCTAGCTTCCAGACACACAGAAGTGTCCTCAGCACATTGGCTGCAGGGGGAACAGGGACTGAGGGGTGAGGTGGAGGGAAGTGAGAAATAGGGCAAGGGTTCAAGGCGTAGGCTACACAGAACAGAGGGAAGAGCTGCACGAGCCCATAGCCTGGCACTGAGCAATGTTGTACCCTCTGGTCTCCCTGGAACCTCCTATGCCAGGGCAGTGGGCTCCAGGCTGTTTTGCCCAAAGCAGGGCCATTGGCCACTGCTCTGGCACTCAGCATTCTCCACATGATGCTGCAGGCCATTGTTTTTGATGGCCAAGGTTGGGTGTTTCCATCAGTGCAGAAGGTTCTTGTGAAGTGTTGCTCTAGGGCCATTGTTGGGAAGTGGCTACTGCTGATGTTGCCAGAAAACAAGGGGCTGGGGACAGCCAAGAAAATCAAAGGTGCCCAAGTTTCCCACAAGCACCCAAACTGGACTTTTCTGCTTCTGTGTAACCAACACCTTGGATGTTCTCATGGAAATAAATTGACATCTGCATCCTCCAAAGCAAATGTACCTGCTGCCACCTGGCTCAGGGATAGACAGCCTTGGGTGATGAGAGAGCTGTCTTAGCAGGAAGTTCACACATTCAGGAGAAAAGGGCCTGTTTCCCCTGGACTTTGACCCACCCAGGTCAATCAGGTGAGTTCAGATATAAGGGGAAGACCGGAAAGGGAATTTGGATGGGTATTTATTGTTATGACAGATAACTGAAATGTGTCTGTGCTGGTTAGAGTATGGGAGATGGTAGAGAAAGCGGTGTTCAGGGAGGAAGGGGGAAGGCAGCCCACAAACAGAGACCTGGCAGGGAGGCCAAGGAGACAAGGATATGGTGTGTTCTTCAAAGTCTTCCTATTTCACAGGCGTGACTGGCCATGGGACTTTCCCATTCTGTATTTGTTCACAATAGCACTGTGGGCAAAATGTTGAGTCCAGGCTGTGTTAAAATTACCTATTTCCTTTTAAAGGAAACAGTAGATGTGAATATGACAAAGGTTTCATTGCAGGATGATACAAATAGCGTGGGGAAAATGGCCCACCCCATGACTTGCTGTCATCCTCTATCACTAACACTGAACTAAATTGGGAGTAGAAGAGAATCCTGCTTTAATGGCCCTGACTTGGAAGCGAGGTGGAGTCTATTATGTTCTGTGTCACCTGTCACCATACAGGTATTCAGGACATGCCAGTCAGTTCAAGGTACTGCACCCTGATGGAATCAAAGCTCACTCAGGACACCAGAGAAACGTCTGTCTGAATTATCAGAACAGGGAACAAACTCAAAGAAGACAGCTGATGGCATAAGATGAAGAAAAAGAATGACAATTCCTGCCCAAGCCACCCTGAGGTCCTCCTGGGTGTACCCCGTTTGTCCTCTGTTAAGCCAGGCTCAAGGCCTCTCCTTGTGAAGCATGGTGGCCTCCAGCAAGACCAGGCCATGTGTGGTGCCAGGCCCACCAGTGTCTATGTCCAGGCCTGTGGCTGGTTCATAGCTGATCCAGGACACCAGCACCAAAGATGGCCTCCTCCGCAGGGCGCTCCTCAGAGGTAACCACCGAGTGGATGGTGCCCACCTCATGCCGCACCTCATGAGGGAGGGCACAGTGTGAGTGTTCCAAAAATTTAGCCACCAAAACCTTGGTATCTACATAGGCCTTGCTGTCCATTAAGGAGTGTGGCCACTCTTTGGAGACCGTCTGTAAGGCCTCTGGTTTTGTCTGTTGGCCGATTTTCCAGATATCTGGGTCCCCAGGGCTTAAGAGCTGGTGCTGACAGGTAGCCATGGCAGAGTGAGATGTGGAGACTACAAATCAAGGGAAAAGATGCATTGTAAAAACAACCAGAAACCAGACTCGACCAAAAGCAGCTGTTGAGTTCTTTGAAAAGCAAAGCACGCCCAGGACCAACTTGCAGCTAGGTTTTCTGTGTTTCAGAGCTAGCATCTGGGTATGTCCTAGCTTTCTGTGTCCCTCGTCCTCTCTCAGCCTGGAGTTGAGCTGATGTTGACCTTGAGGGGCTGCAGCCTCCAGGAGCTGAAGGGCTGGGGATGGAGTGGGGGGTGAAATGTGAGGCAGGCAGGCCTTCCAGGGAGAAGAAGGGCAGGTGTGGGTAGGAGTATGCCTTCCGTTCCCCTTGCCTCTAGAATTCCTGTGCTAATCCCCTCTTGGCCTGCCCCAGCTCCATGGTGTTTGTCCCTCTGGGTCTGATGATTTGCTGAGGCAGAACTATGACATCTGGAGATGGGGTCTGACTTCACACGAGAGCTGGAGGAATAGAGGGGCAATGAGACCTCTGCCCCCATGCCAGGTGTGGACAGCAGCCGCCATCCAGTGCTTCCCCCTGCCTGCTAGACTAGGAGCTAGGGAAATGGCTCTGACTCCCTACAGGATCAATGGCTGGCCACTGTTTATTAGCTATAGAACCAGCACTGATCACACAGACATTAAGACTCAACTTGCCCAACTGTTTGAGTTACTCAGAGTGGACACATTTTGAGCGGTCTGAGGTCTTTTGGGTGGTAACAAGCAAGCCCAGAAATTAAATATGAGAAAGTGTAAAACACTTAGGTAGGTCTAATAAAAATCTCACTAACAAAGTGAAGTAAGGCTAGGTATAGTGGTTCATGCCCGTAATCCTAGCACTTGGGAGGTTGAGGCAGGAGGATCAAGAGTTCAAGGCCAGCCTGAGCTACATAGCGACAACCTGTGTCAAAAAATAAAGTGAACTAAGCAGCTACCTGTATGTTAGTAATAGTCTCTTGATACAGCTGCACAGGGAGCAAGTCAGAAAGCCACATTCGTGGGTGGCAGTACAAGCAGTTGGATTTAAAGGCAATGTAGCCAAGGACCTCTGGGCATTGCCAGCTTCGTGGCAGGTGGAGGTCAAAGACTGTGGGAAAAGGAGTGCCTCACCTGTCCTCAGAGGGGCCTGAGATAGTGCTGTTTCCAGGTCCTGGCTGCAGGAGGCAGTGTGGGCAGAAACATCACCTTAACCAGAGGAGCACTCAGTTAACATGGGAAAGGGAAGAAGGAATTGATCAAATTATCACAGCCTGCCTGGGGCTAAAACAAATATTTCAGATGCGAGACAAGCAGAAGCGAACACACATGCGGATAAAAGGGACCCTGCAGCAGGCCTGTGCCTCACGCAAGCCCAGCGGACGTCATCAGAATGCACTCTGCATCTGAGGGTCTCCAGGGACCGGGAAGACACACGTCTCCAATATGCAGCATGGTGACAGTCTCCTCTGACTGACAGGAGAAGGGATAATGACCACCTCATCCCTCATCCCCACCCTCAATGTCATGTTTCACAGAGCATGAATTTCACCAAGGGGGGAACAGGCTAAAGAAAACCATCAAAAATCCACAGAGTAGACCCCTGAGCCGCTCCAGGTGCATGGGCTCCTCCCCCAAGCCTCAGTGATGACCGTGGACACATGTTGGTTCTTCCAGGGCAGAGGGAAGCTCTAACCTCCAATGCTTTGCATTAAGGAGCAGAGGTAGATGGTTCCAGAAGCCTCAGAACTTTCTCTGGTGAGCCAGGAACTGCATATGGCGGGGGGGATAAAGGGAGAAGAGGGGGTGCAGCCTAAAAGACTACAGGTGCAAATTCTGATACTTCAGCCAGCAGGACACTTCTCCAGGCAGCTGACTCCATTATTCTTGGCTTGGGGCTATTTGATGTTCAGCTGCACAAGACCACTGAAAGAGGGTGGTGTAGGCAGCCCTGGGCCCTTCTCAAGGTTCCTTCACATCGCTATTGTAATGGGATCATTAGTCACAGGCCTCCATATTTACTGGCAAAACTTAAGCCTCCTCCAATAGCAACAAGGATGGGGTGTGGGTTCTCCAACCCAAGACTTCTGAGGAGGGGGTATGAAATGAGAACCCAAGATTCCTGAGGAAGGAGATGTCAAATACAAATTCCTGGGCTGCTGGCCATACCACAGAGACTCTGGTGCCAGGTCCTCCAGCGTAAGGCACTGCCCACTTGCACAAACAGGGAGATTCCACACAGAAGAATGCAAAGGGTGCCATGAAGTGCTCTGGGAACACACTCAGGGCTACCCCCCACTCTGGGTGGAGGACACACCACCTTCTTTTGGACATCGCCTGTAGCCATCTGCCCTGACCTGACCCTTGCTCCTGCTAGAGCCCTGGGGCTTGTGTACAGCACTCATAGCTAATGTCCAGGGTTGCTGGCCACCTGGTGGACTCTCATTCTCCTAAACTCTTGCATCCTTCCTTCCCCAGCACAGAGACACTGTGCTAGGAGTGCTAGGAGCACAGCAGGGACTTCCAGGTCACCCCCTCCCCCTGGCACACACACACAAAACTCTGGGGCCTCACACATCCAGACCACATTCCCCAGGCTCCCAGGGCTGAGTTTCAACTTTCAGAGATAACTGAGCCTTGTGGTGTCCAGGACAAGTCAGGCCTGCCTGGAGCCACAGGCAGACTTGCCCAGCCATACCTGCCTCCCCAGAAGCACAGGATATGGGGTCACTGACAGAGCGAGCCACACGCCCGAGATTTGGCTGTGTCTCTGTGCTCATGTCTGTAGCCTCTGGGGACGTGTGGCGGAGGTCCAGGGCAGGTGACGGGGGCGGTGGAGTGCTTGCAGTGCCATCAGGGGATGGGTGGCTTGGACCCAGCGAGGTGGCCCCCTCTGATGTCTGGAGGCTTGTGCTGCTGGCCGGCACTGCAAGAGAATGGGTACAGATTAGGGAGAATGACCATAGGGCAAGGACTCTGAGGACACATGACCCCTCAGCTGAGCTGTGAGGGCCAGAGAGTCTGACCGGTTCAGACAGGTGGTACCTGGAGTCCAGCCCTGGGTCAGACAGGCAGGATTAACCCAGCCCATGTGCCAGCCTTGCTTCTCAAAGTGAGCCCCCTTGAGAGCAGCATTAGTCTTATCTGGAAACAAGTTAGAAATGGCAACTCAGGGCTAGAGATGTAGTTCACCCACCACAAAGGGAGGAAAGGAAGAAGAGTGAGAGAGGAGAGAGAGAGAGACAAGCAGACAGACAGATAGAAGAGAGAAGGACAGAGTGAAAGGGAGGGGGAGAGAGAGAGAGGAGATGGAGGAGGAGAGGGAGGGAGAGGGGGGAGAGAGAGAGAAGAGAAGGAGGAAGAGGGAAAGAGGGAGGGAGAGAGAAGGAGGAGGAGGGAGGGAGGGAGGAAGGGAGAGAGAAGGAGGAGAAGGAGGAGAAGGAGGAGGGAGAGAGGTAGGGAGGAAGAGAGAAGGAGCCAGAGCTGAGACCCATGGAATCAGAGACTGGGCTGGCCCTGCCATCCCAGTTGGGGAAGGCCTCCATGGGATCTGGATGCCTACTAAACTGTGAGCACTGCTGCCCTGGACCAAAGATGCCGATGTTGGTCAAACCTGGGTGCCTACTTCTTTGCCACTCTGAGGCTGGCGATCTGGGGATGAAGACCACAGACTTTGCTTACACAGCCCCCAGGGACCTGCAAAGCAGTGAGTGTTCCCCACACTCTCCTTGAATTACCAGCCACACTCAGGGTGCCCTCCTGGCACTGCAGTATGCAAGGTGGATGGCCTGTAGGAGGGACGTTTGGTTAGAGTCACAGCAGCCTGAACTCCTCTAAGGGTGGGACACTTTGGGGTCTAGTCTTCCATCTCTCTGTGAATCTGAGCAGGAGCCTGGCATGGGGTGGGGGGTGGGGTGTTCCCTGTCTCCATGTGCTCCTTGTTTCCTCTGTGTCTGTGAGCCTGCCCCACGCTAGGGCTTTTGAGACCATCTTCCACTAAATCCTCACTGCCCACCCATGAGGCAGCCCCAGGTTGCCCCATCCACAGCCCAGGACATGGGCTTAGGAGAGGGAAGGGAAAGGGTCACCTGGCCACCAAGAGGTAGAGCTGGATGATGGAAGATTCTAGAGAATCTTGCTTAGCTGTTGTCGCCCCCTTTGATAAATGGCCCATTTGGAAAAAGAAAAAGATGAAAAAAATCATTAGGAAGATGAACCCTCTTTGTTTAAAAATACTAGAAGAATGGTAAAAGAAAATACACAAGAAAAAATCCACAGCCTTGGAATGGAGATGTTGTACACATGATAGAAACCATAAAGGAAGAGCATGGAGATCTGACAACAAAATGCTGTGAACTTGCATATGGAATAAGGCATCATTGACAGGGGAAAACTAAAGCAGGAACTCAGCAGGATCCTGCCATACATAGGGAGGTGCAGGCCTTATATATTTCCTCATCTGTTTGGACCATATGCTTTTTCTTATTAAGGGAATAAACAGAGAGGGTGAACCTGTTCAAAGTATACTGTACCATCTATAGAGTTATCATATGAAATGTTTTCATAGTATTAATGTGCACTAATGAAAATAGTGAAAACAAAAACTTAAAGAACCCAAAACATTGCAAAAATAAACATGAATCAAATTCAGAGCTACATGTGGGCAACAAATGTGTAGAAAAGTTGCTCAAGGCCAATCTGTGTCGAGGGTGATAAAGGCCACAGGGAGTGACAATGTACTGGGGCCTCATCCCCTGTTGGTGGATATGTAAACTAGTAATACAATCTTTCCAGAATCCAATCTGGCTAATATATTAAAATCGACAACACACAGTCCCTTGAACTTGGCAATTTCACTCCCAGGAATTCATTCCAGTGTTCAAGTCGAAGGCATCGCGTACAAAAACACCAGCACTCCCATATCATTAGGGAACTCCTATCCCAGAAGTTGTATTTATTAACCCTATGTAAACTCTGTCAAAGTTATTCACTATAGTATTACACAGTAGTATATCAAACTTATTTTGAATAATATTCATGCCTGCTGAACCCTCTTGATCTCAGTTCTCTCAATGACAGGGAAACATCTAAGATTCACTATAACAGTGTAGGAAAAGCTCCTAGCCTAAGAGTGGAGACCCATTTTTGCCCATTCTCATCTTGAGTTGTATTGTGTGCTTTTAAAAGAAAATTTCAGTCATACTCCTAGAGAACTTCCAATTTATCCCCCCCTCACCAAAAAAAAACACAGGCATTTTTCTTAATGAATAATAATGTATTTAGCTGGTGTGGTCATCCCCTGTGAAGGTCATGGGACACAACTCTAGGGCAGCTTATGAAGGCTCCTTAGAGTGATCAAGGGAAGGACAAGATCACGTCTGACTGCCATGACTACAGAGACCTGGTGCTCCCTGCAACCCAGAGATGACCTCCTGGAAGGAAAGCCTCTCCTATCTAGATGTTGGGTGGGAAGGACAGACAGTCCTGGTACAATAATCACAGGATATCATGAGCTATTTGATTTTGGTGTCCAAATATCCCAGTCCCCATGAAGCTACCTGAGGTCCCCAAGAAGGGCGCTCTCTGGAAATGCCCAGCCCCTGGCCTTTTTCTCTCTCTGCCACTAAGGGCCATCTGCTTTCCTGATGGCTCAAACTGGCCCTTAGCTTAGTACTCTGGAGTTGGCTCCCAGAGAATCTCTGTATTTAGGAATCAGACATTTTCACTTTTGCCCTTCAATGGTTGCAAATATGTGACTTTCAGCCTCACCCTCCATCCAGCCTCTCCCTCTGAAGCCTCCTAGCTCATCTCACCTCCATCTGAGGAAGGAGCCTAGAAGACATTAGCTTGATACAATGGGTATCAAACTTGATACCCTTGACTTATAATGGGTCACATCCTGATAAACCCATCATAAGTTGAAAATATCATCAGTCAAAAATGCATTTAATACACATAACGTACTGAACATCACAACTTTGCCTTGCCTGCTTAAACCTGCACAAAACAATTACAGTTGGGTAAACTCATTTAATACAAAGCCCATTATTTACTAAAGTGTTGAGTATCTCAAGTAATTTATTGAGCAGATCAAAACTGGAAGTACAGTTTCTATTGACTATCTATCTCTTTGGTATCATTATAAGGTCCAAAAATCCTAAGTTGAACTCTCATAAGTCAGGGACTGTCTCTATAAACAATTTTTGCTCCTGAAAGGAGCGCTTGCTCCTTCAAGTGAGGGAGAAAAGGCTCTGGGAGAGCCCCAGAGAAAACATGAGATCTCCTAGGAATGCTGACTCCCAGGAAAGCCTGCAACACCCCACTAAAGAGAGAGAGAGATGGAGAGAAATGGACGAAGAGAAGAAAATATAAAGAGAAAAAGAGACATCCTTGAAAAATACAAACTTAGTGCATCAAATATAATGGAACATAACATTACCTGGGGTGCTGAAGCCAGCAGTGGTGTTTGGGTCCCCAGAGCTGGACTCGGCCACCTGGTGATTGATAGTTGCAACCTATAGCAAGAAACAAAAGAGCATCAAGGTGAGTCATTGGAGAGGCTCAGGTCCACATCACAGCAGCCTCCAGTAATACAGTTAGCCCTCTGCATCCTTGCATTCCCTGAATTCAACTAACAGCAGACTGAAAATATTTGGGGGGAAAAACTCTCCAAAGTCCAAAATGTAAAACCTAGTTTCTATGCACCAAATACTCTGCTGAATCCATGTGAATGAAGTGCGTAGACACTGTGTTAAGAGCTCTAAGTAATTGAGAGATGATTTAAAGTACAGAGAACGTTGTGCCTAGGTTCTAGGCACGTACCACACCATGCCCACATAACGGGCTTGAGCATCTGTGATTTTGGTATTCAAGGGATGTTCTGAAACCAATCTCCTGTAGGTGCCAAGGGACAACTGTACAGGCCGGTTTTAACATATCCCAGTAAGAAGACTTAAGAGACATGCCTATACATTTCTAGTGTTCTCCCCTAAATTTATGAGGTGAGGATGTAAGAGCAAAAGTCATCATTGGCAAGGTCAAAGATTACTTTTCTGACCTTTTCAATCAGAGCACCTTCCAAGGCCCTGACATACCTCGAGCCCACTTGCTTTCCACCTATGGTCACTGTCTGGGACCAAAGTAGGTCATAAAGTATCCTCCATTGTCACTATGAGACAATGTGCCCCTGCCCTCACTTCTAACACCCTCTTCTGTCCCCTCTCTGCTTCTGATCCAGGAAGAATAAGGGTATGGCACAATGGGTCCTGAGAGTCATCATGCTTCATGCAAGCATGGCTGGGACATGGAACAGCACTGGATAAAAATTCACAGCCTGACTGAGTTCCCGTTCTCTCCCAAGCTCATTCGTGCTCTCTTGCCTTTGGCCTCTTGTGGAGGGGTTAGAGAGATGACTCCTAGGTTGCCCTCTTGGTCTGGGCTCCAAGGTCAGGCTCCAGGTCTGTAGAGGGCAGTGTGCCTGTCTGGGCCCCGCAGCACAACATTGATGACACACAATAGTGCCATCCTGGAGCGAGAAGCTATGGAACTTGCTCCAAGTTCAACAGTCACCCAATGTTTGCAAATTTCTTTTTGCATTAAATTCTATTCTACCCTGAGAGGTCTCGGGGAATAGGAAAGAGAAAAGCCAGGCCCCCTCTGGTCTCCTGACCTGTCCTCACCTTGTCCATCCTCTGTGCGGCACAGCCCTTTATCCCTTCTTCAGGACACCCTGGTCTTGCACAACCTTGGCCTTGAATGTGCTTATGCACTATCCATACATCACACGGGAACTGCCATGCACCCCTACACTAGCTCAAAAAAGCAATTTCTGATTCCTTGTGTTATTTCAGAATTGCTTTGGGGACACACTTGAAAATAACCAGCTCTGAAGGAGGCTGGGGAAAGTGAGGTGGGCCCCTGCGGCTTGGTCCATTCCAGCTCAGGTAATTACATTTCTGCCTCCCTCACCACTTCCCACCACAACGCCAATCAGATAGCTGATATTCTCCATCTGTCTTCTGAAACTAGGCTGGGCCTGAAGCAGGTGGCTCCTACTGCAGCCTCCACACCAACACAAAGGGTGTGAGCAGCTCCCCACAGTGCAGTGGGGGCTGGGAGGGGGCTGGAAGAGGGAAGACCAGGAAGGAGAGGTACCCAGCTCATGAGAGTGTTGTAGCACAGCACACACAATTTTTCCTACCTAAGCACTCCCATACTGTTGCAGAGGGCATCTTGTGAAGGAGGATTTGTATCACCATTGACATGCACCTGTTTTTCCATTTTAATCACTATGTGCCAATAACCAATTCTGGAAACCCCTGCCAAGAATCTTCCACTAAATCATAAACAAAAAAAGGAGCAACTGCCTGAAGCTCTATTCCATTCCATATCTAATCTCACATAGACACGTATTGGTAGAGGTGAGTGGAGACTTGGATACCTTCTGTCTTAAAAAATCAAAAAGCTTCCAGTAAGAAAAAAATATAAATAAAACAAGAGAAATAAAATACACAGAAGGACAAGGTCAGAAGGAAATTGGATTCGTTTCGTATTTTTCAGAAGCAGCGTTTGCTTCCATCTCGCTCCTGGGATCCAGAGGCAGAGAATGTGTTTTGAGAGGAGCCGGCTTTGGGAGGCTTTCTCAAGCAGGGTGCTGGTGGGGTGGGGGGCTGAGGTGTTAATTTGAATTTGGTCAACCCTGATGGCAAAAGCCACCTTGCCACACTCAAGCTGCAGGGGAAAATAGCTGTTCAGTTCCCACAGCCTTGTTGGTGAACTTGAAAAGCAGTCGGAGAGAGTATCTATGGCAGATAAGGAAATTTGAGGCTCATAAATCTAGCTCCATGCAGAGGGAGGGGCAAGAGCACTGGTGCAGGAGAGGCTGCACGTGTAACTTAATCTGGGACACTTCGAGATTCCTTGGACTTGATAATTCTCAGAGATGACCACTTGTCGTAATTGAAAAGCAGTTTGGCATTTAGGCAAATTGGCCACATTCCCCTCATTTTCCTACTACAAAGCTCTGTGGCTTTCCTGCCCTACTTCTGTAACAAGATTCTCACTCCTGGGTGAGGTCAACCATCTACTGCCAGAGTTACAAAGAGCTTCTGTTTAGGGGCAAGTTATCAGCTCTCATGGGAAATGCATGTCCTTACAGATGTCTAAATGTAAGGGTCAATTCCTTTGAACATATAAATAATGACTTTTAGGACCTAGGTTGGTGGTACTGGGTCATGTCCACCTTGTTTCTCACAATTTCTAGTCTCAGCTTTCCCCTCCAACCCATCATATAGCCACCCAATTAGAATTCTTCAAGCACATCTGGGTTGTGTCAACCTAGAGCCAAACTCCTCAAAGGCACCTCCATAGCTTGGCATCCAAGGTCATGAAATGTGTACTCAGACTAATGTTGACCTCTTTTATGCAGTGGAAGCTCCCATACAGGCTCCTGGACACCTCACTCCCATGCCTTTGTAGCTTCGGTGCCCTCCACCTGGAAGACATTCACTTTGGTCACACATGTTCCACCCTGCTCAGGTTGCTAGGCTCAATGCTTCCTTTGAAGCATGGAGGTTATTTGTCTCCATCTCATCACCACATCATACTGTTGGTTCCCTGAGGGTGGGAGGGAGGGGATTCTGTCCAGTTCATGGTTCTGTATCCCATGGAATAGTGTACTAAGGTAGTAAATGCTTTCATCTAAACAGAATATCCAACCGGTAGTTTCTCAATAAACTTCCTGCTATAGAAGATCTTGGGATCTTACTGCAGAGTATAGTTTGTAATTGTGGGAAAGAGATCAATGTCACCACCTGAGCCAGAGGGAGAGTGTGTGATTGGTCCATATGGGGTATACATCCAAACAAACATCCTCAGTCAAGATATGCATTTCTTTCTGAATTAAAAATATCTTCCCAGACAGGTTGGTGGTACATGCCTATGGTTCCAGCTATTCAGGAGGCTGAGGCAGGAAGATTACTTAAGGACAGAAGTTTAGGGCCAGCCTGGGTAGCACAGCAAGACCTAGTCTCAAAAAAAAAAAATAAATAAATACATAAATGTTTCCCCACCTAGCTCCTGTACCGTACAGAGCCTGGATGATGCCCCTTCATTCTTCTGTCACTCTGTCCTCTCTTTATCTAAACAGAGAGGCAATTTATATCCCATTTGTCTTAACAAGAAGAAGAAATTAACTTCCTCCTTTCCCACAAACAGGCTCCTTCTGTGAAGAGGGGCAGCTCCTAGATTTCTAGGCAGGGGGGATGGGCCACCCCGGAGGAGAGGGCAGCTGGCAGATGCAGCCTTCCCTCTGCGGACAGTAATGGGTTTCATTGACTTCCGGCCTCCCAGAGATGTTTGTGGAATTGAAAAGTGCTCTGAGACCACAGGGTCAAAGAGAATTGGCTGCCTGTTAATCACCAGATGCTCTCCTGCTCCCACAAAGGGAGGTGGCCCAACAGGCCACATAGACAGACATGCTCGCCTGGGCTTCTCTTGGGCAGATTGTGTTTGTGTAAGCACTTGTGGGCTGGAGGTTGGTGAGCTAACAGGAGCTGACATGAGAGGCTCTTCTCACCTAAGGTCTATGAAAGAAATCTCAGAATTCCTGGCAGTTTTGGAAAACGGTGTCCTTTGGGTCTTAGGACCCGTGTTACCATCCTGTGGCATATTCTGTTCTTCAGAGAAAGAAAGAAATGCTGGTAAAACATGAATCAACATCCTGGTGTGCAGCATGGGGTGGCACTCTGGATGTCACAGTCATTCCAGAATCTGCTGCTAGCACTCAGAGGCCTTGAGAAACTGGGGATCTTGTTGGGAAGAACAGAGCTCTGAGTAGGCAGCATCCCCAGCACTCTGTTCCCCACTGCGGAGTGCACAGAGGACATCAATCATTCTACCCAGTCACTCTTCTGGAAATAGGAAGAGCAGCTCACAAAAGGAGGGTGGGGATGCTGGTTGAGAGCAATCCCAGGGTGGAGCTGGAAGTCTAGAATGGCAGCAAGCAGGCTCTCGGTGGGGAGGGGCTGATGGCAGAGTCGCCCTCCTCTCTCCAAAGCAGCCATAAAGAATCACACACTTCTTTGGAGTTTCAAGATTTCAGATCCACCTGCCACCTTGCCTGGTAACCCTGCTGCTTACAGGACAGAGCTACTTGTTTGCATGCCTTCCCAGGGCAGCCTTTCATCCAGGTCCCTCCCCTTGTCCACTACTCCATCTCTGGCCCTTCCTGGTGACACCCTGGAGGCCTTACACCCACACATCCCTCTACCATCCATTTTCTCTCCTCTTCACCAAAAGTAAGTGGGTCCTTGTGGCAGCAGAAGCTAGGTCCTTATTAAGAATGGAAATTCTTAAGATATCCTCTTCCCCCACCCTGGGGGTGCGCCAGTCATCAGGATTTGATTGACAGGTCTCTGGGGGACTGGGATGCCCATTGGTATTAAAATTCATGGCCAATACCCTGCTATACCTCTCGTGCCCCACCCGGGCTTCTACCCAGTGCAATCTGGTTCCTACCCCACTACCTCCTGGTTGCAGCTGCTCCTACCCAAGTCATCACCAGGTGACCAGGTGGATCACAGCCTCTGGACAGTCTCTGTCCCATCCTTTCCTTCCTGCACTGTTGGTTCCTGCAAATCCAGGCTGCCTGAGAGTCTCACCTGGTGCTCTGCTGTGTGGGCAGGAGTCCACCTCTTCCACCACATGCAATAATGTCGTTCTGTACCCTCAGCCAGGCCCCCTCTCCCCTTGCTAGTTCTGCAGGCTTTAGGGACGATCTCTGTGGCAAACTTTGCTATCTCTAAAGTCCCCAAATGTACACCCTGGCGGGCACTCACTGGGATTGATGACCCTGGAATCTATACCATACTTACTTTCTCTTCTTCCCTCCCTCCCTCCCTATGTCCCTCCCTCTCTCCCTCCTTCATTTCCTTCCCTGAGCCTTGTGCAGGCTGTTCCCTCTCCCCATGACACACCCTGCCTCTGTCCCCCATTTGTGTGCCTCATATATGCCTTGCCTACACTCTGAGGTCTCCCTATACCCCCACTCCCCCACTGTGCCTAATCTGAAACCTCTGCAGATCCTGCTCTCTGAACAATGGTTCTCTGACACAGGACTAAGAAGAGCAGCATCTGTTGTTTGCTGGAAGATTCCACTGTGTACAGACACACGCAGAAGGCCTCAGCAGAAGGTGGTTACAGGCGACAACTATCCCAACTCCAGCCCTGGCCTGATACTTCCTGAAGGCAGGCCAGGAAGGTTTTCTGAGCACTTCCACAGAAACAGGTCCTGTCCAGGCCCCAGGCCTCACCTGGCTGGCGGGTGTCTGGCTCACCACAGCCTCGTAGGGTGGGGGCAGCTCAGCAGGGTACAGCATGCCAGGGCTGTTGATGGTAACATCGTACAGAGTGCTGAATGGTGAGGAAGCAAAGTCCAGGTGGAGGCCCCTGGAAAGGCAGAGCCATCTGTCACATTGTCATTCACAGAGTCCCTCTCGTCCAATACTTGTCATGTTTGAGAAAGAAAAGCCTGATTCACTGGGCAATTTTGACTTCTGTCCTTCTGAAAAGATGCCCATATTTTCAATATACTCTTTAGCCTTTTCTGTTAAAATTAAAATAATCAAACAGCCAATGGAATCTTGAATTAAATTTTCCATGCTAAAAGAGTGGTCATCATTCAATAGGAGTTTCAAACATTTGTGAACACAACAGAGCCACTCTTGTTAGCCTGTGTTCTCCCTTGGGTGACACTGCAAAGATGAATAGGGATGTTCTATTTCAAAGTCACCTCTTCCTTTCACCCTTCCTTCTCTGGTCTCATCAAATATACTTTTCTATGCGTGCTCTTAGTTCTGCTCAGGTACCCCCGCTCCCCTACAAAGCAACAACCAGTTCAAACCCCCACCCCACTCCGCCCAGGATGCTTCCTGTCGTGGTGGCTTTAGCACTCACAAAGGGGATCAGGGGAAGACCAACCTGTGGGCCTCGGCTGAGGGCGTGCAGGTGTACTCGGGAGGGTAGTAGGGTGGAGGTGGGAGGGGGGCGATGAACTCATCGAAGTCCAGAGTCTGGTGGAGGACAGTGCCATGCGGAGTCACGCAGGCAGGATTGGCAGAGTGTGACCTTTGCGGAAAGAACTGGAGGACACAGAGAATGACAGTTATTTGGGACATTTTGTGTGGCTCATGTCTCATTAAGCTAATTGCACATAAGCTTTGATGATCAGTGTGGAAAGTCTGCAATTTCATCTGTCAAGCCATGACTGCTAATCCCACACTTCGGAAGGATGGCTCAGTGAGGAACGCCTCACCTCAGATGTCTCCTTTAGCCCCATTTCCCACACTGTTATGTGGAAAACCTTTTTTGGGGGGAGGAAAAGTACCATCTGGGAAGTCTTTAATACTCCTCAAACTCTGAAGTTGAAAGGTCTATGCCGTTCATGGGTTCAGCCAGCGTCGTGAAGTATGCTCATGAGAAAACCCTAGGCCCTCAAGATGTACCCTCACCAAGTTCCTACTGTGAAACAAACTCAGGAAACAGCCCATGCATCCACCCTTTTTAGAGCCTTGCAAAGTGCATTACTGTGTTAAAGGCTCTGATAAGGCCTGTGTTGAAAAAAAATTTTTTGACCTTTCAGCTGTTTAACCCAACACATCTTAAATATTTCACTTATGGGTCCCTTTGGACACAGGGTCTCTCTCTCTCTCTCCATATATATATATGTATTATATATGTATATATATGTATTTATATATGTATTTTATATATAATATATTTATATATATTTTGCAGTTCTAGGAAACCCACATGCTCTGTAAAACACTGCTCTAAAGAAGAAGAAACTCATTCACAAATTCCTTGAATGCTGAGATGCTGCTTAAAAAACTGAGGAAATCTCACTTCAGCAAAATGAATGTTGATTGCCTGGCTTTGCATTTCTGAAGTACTAGCGTGTATCTTTTTCTCCTTCTACCCTTAGATCACTTCTGCCAGGGACACCTGTGCCATGGGGATGCCTGGAACACTGCTCCATTGCTTTCAATGCAGAGTTTACAGGTGTGAAAAGACCCTATACTATGAAGATTCCATGCTCTGGGACCTCCCACTGCATGGCAGGTGAAGTAAGGAGAGGAACAGAGTGGACAGTAAGACAAAGACCCAGAGTCACTTGTACATGGTCAAGTGCAACTGGTCCAGTAGAAAACTGAGTCTCCAAGCAGTATGGGGACCCAGGGGCCATAAAGCGTGCATGAAACAGATGACATTTGAATGGCCCTTGAAAGACTGCTAGGACCTCAAGGGGTGGGAAGAGAGCACTCAGGCTTGAGACCAGGGGGACCTGCTGCAGAAAAGCAATAGATAAGGCTCCAGAAGTCAATTCTGAATTCTGGGCATATAGTAGGGAGCCAGTGAAGGTGTCAGAGCTGGGGAGCAGTGTGATTGAAGGTGCATGGTGGAAGCACTTTCCGGAAGCAAGGCTGGAGTTGCTAAGGACCAGGAGGTCAGGACTGTTTTGCACTAGTGTGGGTGAGGTCACTGTTCTAAATGTGGTCAGATGCTGTGAAACCCTCATGATCTAGGCTGACGGAGAAAGAATGGCAGCCATGTCTAAATGTGATCTAACACATCAGACTAAAGATGGCTCCTGTGGGTTGTCCTAATACACAGCACATTCCCTGCCTTTCCAGCTCTGGCTAACCCACAACCATGTTTGTTTAACTATCTGTAATTAGAGGCAGATCAATGGCCAGGAGCTGGTTGAATGTGTGCTGTTGTCCTTTGTCTTGGGAGCTGCTAAGCCTTGAGCTCACTGAATAAAATTCAAGTGACAGGGTGAGGCAAATATCCTTGAGGTTTAATAAGGAAGTATTTTGAATTAGTCTCTATTAGAAATTAGACAAATCAATATATATTCAAGCAAACAAAATGCAAAAGCCAAGATACTTTCCTATTAAAGGTACAATTTCCCAGGATGTAAGAACAAGCATTTTCAGAACAGGGAGAGGTAGGTCCAGATGACTCCATTAAGCAGGTTTCAGTGAGTAGATGCTGCCGGACACCAAAGACTTTATGAAGGACAGACTGCATCTGCTCTATGCCTCATTTTGCCTTCACAGAAGCATTCCAGACTTGGCTCATTTCAAAGACAGCCTTTTACCTTGGCTTTCTGGCCTCCCCAGGAAGGAGCCTCCAAGTCACACTTCACCTCTTCCTTGTCTTTCCCACCATAAGGGCAATCAGCATCTGCTTTGCAGCCCAGGGCACCAGCTCCGTCCTTGCTCATGAAAGGGCTGAAAGCCTGCAGACTACAATTCCCAAGCTCCCTTGCCAGCTGGCTCCTTGCCAGGTTCTGCCAGTTGGGGGCACTAGAAGGAAAGAACTGGAAGGCAGTTGTGAGACCTCAGTCACCATGAGGTGACTCTTCCTCCTTCCCTTCAGATACCCCAGCTGTAAGGGGTGGTAGCTACCTCCTGCCATTATTTATCTGTGCAAACTCTGCACCCCTTTTGTTCCTTCAGCCTTCAACACCTGGGTAACCAGCTCTCCATATTAACTGTTCAGAAACACCAAAGGTGATTTCTTTTCCTTAGTGTGTGGGTGTCTGTGTTTTATCTACCTGTGTATTCTTGCTTGGGGCACAGCAGGTGCTCAGTGACCATATGTTGGGTGGACGGACAGACAGACACCTCCTCATTGTGATTCCCCTGCTCAGACTCCATTCTTTTCCCCCTGCGACTAATGAACAGCTATGGAGCAAGCTACCTTGATTTTTTGCCTTTGGAATTCAGTCTTCATCGGGCTAGCAGAGCTATTTTTGGAGCAATCCGAGGAGGTCACACTGAGGTAGAATAGATAGATGAGGAGACAGGGTAATTATATTTTAATCAATATTTAAAGGGCCAGACTCTGACATTGGAACAAGGAGATCCAGAGTGACTGGTCCCCTCCCAACTCCTTTTAATGCTAAGTTACAAAAACTGGGAGACAAAGAGGAGCTACCTGCTTCTTGTTTCCTCTTTGAGATGTTAAGAAGCTGCAAATCCTTGGATGGGTGGAGAGTAATCATGTGTAGCAAAAGAAAGTTCTAAAGTACACTTATTATCTCTGATTTGGGTGGGCTAGGATGGACCCCTTCTTGTTTTAACAGCCATCTGATCCAACCAGACCCTGGGGTGGTAACTGCTCACCCTGTGGATCTCTGCTCCTGCCACTGACTGCCATCTTCCTCCTAGTGCCAGAGCACTAGGAGTTTCCCTACACAAGACAAAGCCAGTTTTAGCTGCCACTGTAATGACATAATGACGTAGAGATGCAGACAGGAAGACCTGGTTGCTTTAAGAAAGCCAACCTGAGTACTTTGGAAAGCCTCAATAAAGAAGACTAGCTAAGAAGAAATTGCTGCTAAATTGGGTCTGAGCACAGTAGTGCTAAGGGAGTGAGAAGAATCATAAGAATCCCAACTATCTAGGGGTATTCTTCACTCTGATTGCTTCCCAAGGCTCACTGCACCTGAAAAGAATGGAACCTGGAAATCACAAGTGGTGCAATTTCCATGATATTTATGTAAGAAATACAACAGGACACACCAATCAGGCCCATAATGAAAGGGAGAATCATGGCCTCAAAATCACACAAACCATGAACAAATGCTCATAGCATATTTAAAGTCAAAGTAAGATGTTTGTAATATGTCTTCATTTTGTTGGTTGTCTGCTTTGACTAACTGTTGATTAATTAACAGCCCATTACTCCTGGTCTGATAGATCAATAGTACTTCTGCCCAAAGACTGTTCTGTTGAGCCCAGGCCTTTAAGGATGGTCACTGTGAGTCCAGTGTCTTCATAGAGAAGACACTGGTGAGCAGGTGACATGGGGCTTGGGATGGGGTTATCTCTGAGTGGCCTGCACCCCATACAAGTTCCATGACCACAGTTCCCATGCCTGTGGAAGCACAGAGCTACCTGCCTTTCTAAGGGAACTTCAGTTTATGAGGCACACGACTGGAGGTGAGAACAGAAAGGGCAATAATGTAAGATGAAGTTAACAAGCGAGTGTCTGATGGGGTGCATGTGATAGTGGACGATGTTCCCGAGGCGACAATGGCTGGTGATGAAGGAAATGGGGAAGAAAATCATGCAACAGAAAAATGGAAAAACGAGATTATATCCAAAAGAAAACTAAGAGAATGATATTATAGACACTAAGGAGTTGAAAAGCCTTGTCTACTAACCTCTACCAATAAACCGAATTGTGTCAGGAGGTGGTCTTTTGCCAATATTCCCACACATGTTAGAGTAACTCGCTTTATGGGCTCTGATAATGGGTGTTGCACTTTGCATCTCATGTATAGATAAATTCATGATGTCAGTTCCAACAACAATTTATTATCCTCAAGTGCTGATTTGTACAAATAAGAATGATGAGTTCTTTGGAGGGCTCGATCTCATGATCCTAAATTCCTAAAAATGCTGAACTTGTAGCACCACACAGAAGATGTCTGTTGATTAATCAAATCAATGAACTGATGAGTGAGTGAGCAAATCAGTGAATAAACAATAAGCAGATATATCAATCAATGACACAAATCTAGGACTCTCCTGAGAAGCTGAAGTTACAGCTAGAATTTGTTCATTTGCATAAATGTTAACATAGGAGCCTCAGCAGAAATCATGACTGGGGTTTCTTCTGCCAACACTGTCCAGGGCCACAGCATGGTGATTGGACTAAATTTCGTCCCCTTGGCCCAGCACCCCTGTGCAGTGAACTGCTCAACAAGGTGCCCAAGAAGGGCCTCAGAGCTGAGGCCACGGGTCAGGAGGATCCCATAGGTTCTTTCTGAGAAAGGAAATCAGTATTGGCTCATCAGGAAAAGGCGGCAGGGGGCCTTCCACACACATGCTCACAGTAGTCCTCCCCCAATAATACCATCACCATAAATTAGGCCTCTCAGGGCTGGGATTAAGCTCAATTGGTACAGGGTTTGCCTAGTGTGCCTGATGTCTTGGGTTCAATTCCCAGTGCGACAATAAATAAATACATAAATTAGTGTTTCTTACTTTGAAAGTCTTTAAAAATATAACATCAGAATGATGAGCTAGTGAACAAGAGTCACAGCTGAGTTCAGCTAACGAAAATT